CCTACAGATTACAGATTACATATCCCAAAATGTAGTTTGTAACAGAGTCCATTAAATTACTTAAAGTGAGTAACGTAATCTGATTACTTTGGATTACTTGGTTTGCTGTAGAGTAGCAAAGACTAGGATATTGTAACATAAGAAGTTTTGTCTGCTAAAAGACAGTAAAAAGCCCAGACTTTACTAAAACAAATTAAAAATATTATTGATAGAAGAGGAAGAGGAGACACAGTCCGCACAGCATGGTTTAGTCCTGTTAAATCCTGTTTTAGTCCTCTTTTAGTCCTGTTTTAGTCCTTGTTTCAGTCCTGGTTTTAGTCCTGGTTTAGTCCTATTTTAGACCTATTTTAGTCCTGGTTTTAGTCCTGGTTTAGATCTGGTTTAGTCCTGGTTTAATCCTGGTTTTGACCTGGTTTAGTGTCCAGCAATGAGTGGAATTACCGAAAAAAGAAGAAAAAAAAAGATGGATTTAGCCCTAAATGTGGAAACAGGAAAATACCACCGTGTAATCCATTTATTTCATCTGTGACATGTTAGTGTCATATGAACCATCTCGCACTCTGAGGAGCTCAGGGACCAGCCTCCTGCTGGTGCCCAAAGTCAGGACTAAACAAGGGGAGTCAGCGTTTCAGGTTCATGCAGCTAAAACCTGGAACAGTCTGAACATGTGAGACAGACTCTTCTGTGACGCTGTTTAAATCCAGGCTCAAAACATTTCTGTTTAACTGTGCAAATAACTGAAAGGTTTTCATTCCGCACTCTTCTCTCCAATTTATGTCTCTCTTTTTTAATTTTAATCTTCATGATTATTTATGTTTTGATTTGTTTTTATTATGATTTTAATGTATTTCTTATTCTTTAAAGCACTTTGAATTACTTTGTGTACGAATTGTGCTATACAAATAAACTTGCCTTGCCTATTTCAACAAAGTTACTGTAATCCAATTACCACTCATTCAAACAGTAACTGTAACCGAATACAGTTACTCATAATTAGTACTCTGATTACGTAACTCCGGTACATGTAATCTGTTACTCCCCAACACTGCTTGTAGGTTGCTTCACTCTTCTGTCCAATTCATCCCAAACCTGCTCGATGGGGTATAAGTCTGGAGACTGAGCTGGATACTCCATGTTTTCAAGTTCACCATCTTGTTCTTGTAGTTTTGGAGCTTGGACTTGTGTTTTGTATCTTTTATCTTTTTTTTTTTAACCTTTGACTGTTCAGTACTTACCTTTGTACCATTTCAAGCTCTTCATTGGACTTGCACGACTTAAATTGCAATAAATAACTGGAAAAATTAAGGTGTTCTAAAACTTTTGACCAGTAGCATAAATGTCCAAGAGGTCGATCGCCTTAACTATAAAGTGCCGCGGGAAACACTGTCATTCCCTCCACATCTATAGCAACAAGCTTTCTCAGACTAACGGCAGCCAGTCTCCAAACAATTAATCACACTTTAGCTGGAGATGAACAGGGTAAAGCGTTTTGCTCAAGGGGTCAACGACAGAATGTATAGATTAGAATGATAATTAAACCTATGCTCATTGCGTTAGTGAGCAAACACTCTGTGCCACTACAGACACAAATCCATCAACACAGTTCAGGGCCGTCAAACTCAAATTCACAGAGGGCCGAAATTAAAAACTGGGACTAAGTCTTGAGCCAAACTAAATATTTATTGAAAAATTTCAACAACATCTGCGTATTTTCTCTTCTTTCGAAATATGTAAAGTTAAACCCTTTCTAATTAAAATAAATGTTTAATAATAGTTTTGCTAAGACATTGAATCCAGAACAAGCATAATATAAAATAATAACAACATTTTTAATAAATAATGTCTCTATAGTCTGTCTGTAGCCGGTGGGTCAGCTCTAATACATATCTGATATGATATCGCGGGCCCTGAGTTTGACATATCTGACTTATTTGCTATTAAAGAGGCACTATGGAACTCTCCAGGTACGGGGACTGCGTTTCCATGGAGACAGGCAGCTGAAAGTTCCACAGTACTGCATTACACAGATATCTTGCATTTAATCAATATATCCTTTGACCTCATGTATATAGCTGGGATTTTGTATTTTATTACTTACTTATTTTTCTATTTTATTTTGACTTGTACATGTACATTTATATAATTATTGCTACTTATTTAGAATTTATTATTACCATTTATATTTTTTACTTTTTGTTATTATATTATATTGTGACTTGTGAGCTACTGTGTCCAAATAATTTCCCTTATGGATCAATAAAGTTTGTTTAAGTCCATATTATACTCAAATATAACTTGAAAAACATGCATTCTTACTATGAGTGAAGTCACCTCTCCACAGACCTGACCCGTAACTTTGCCTGGATGTCTCCCTAGAACATTCAAAGCATCTTCATGGAGACAAGCGAGCAAAAGAGTTACTTAGGGCAGTGCACCTTTAGAAACCAAGCTTAGAATGTATGTAATGAATGTAACGTGAACTTGGGTTAAACGTATGTAGTACTTTTTAGCCTTGTTGTTGTGAGTATCTTTGACCCTTTTCTGCCCCTAATGGGAGCAGTCAACAGCCAATAGCATATAACTGCATTCCTCCCTGGTGACATAATTACTCGAGTAAAGCTGTCAGTGACAAGTTTCCCCTCGGTCACTCCTACATGTTTGATAATATTAAACCATGCACCACTCCTCTACATTTCACTACCCACACAAGTAAACAAAAGCAGTGTAAAATACAATGAAACGGAATGAAGTACAAAAGTAAAAGTACTAAATATTTAAATCAGATTTTTAAGTATCTGTACTTTACTTTAGTTGATTCTATAGTGAATACTTTTTACTTTTACTTCACTACATTTGAAAGCATGTATCTGTACTTTCTACTCCACTACATTTTAGATCTGGACTGAAAAGTAAAAAGCACTTTTCTTTATGGTTTAAGACGTATTTTTAGCACATTTTATTTGAGTTAATGTCCCAACTTTGAGCAAACCAAATATATAAACACAAAAACAGATAGAAAAATGTAAAAATCACTTCAATAATTTAAAATCTGCTAAATTCTTTGTCAGAATCACTACATTTGATGCTTTAATTGTTCTAGAAATCTCTGCAAAATACTTACTTTTTACTCATACACATTTTAAACAGGTGCTTTAACACAATTTCTTTTTGTGATATTTTTACTTCTACTTCACCACATTTGAAAGCATGTATCTGTACTTTCTGCTCCACTACATTTTAGATCGGGACTGAAAAGTAAAACGCACTTTGTTATGGTTTGAGATTTCCTGAAAAAGCTGAGACTTTTTTTTTTTAGCACATTTCATTTGAGTTAACGTCCCAACTTTGAGGAAACCAAACACATAAACACACAAAAACAGCTACAAAAAATTTAAAATCACTTCAAATCAGCTAAATTCTTTGTCAGAATCACTAGATTTGATGCTTTAATTGTTCTAGAAATCTCTGCAAAATACTTACTTTTTACTCATACACATTTTAAACAGGTGCTTTAACACAATTTCTTTCTGTGATATTTTTACTTCTACTTCACCACATTTGAAAGCATGTATCTGTACTTTCTGCTCCACTACATTTTAGATCGGGACTGAAAAGTAAAACGCACTTTGTTATGGTTTGAGACTTCCTGAAAAAGCTGAGACTTTTTTTTTTTTGTGGCACATTTCATTTTTAGCACACAAAAACAGCTACAAAATTTTTAAAATCACTTCAAATCAGCTAAATTCTTTCAGAATCACTAGATTTGATACTTTAATTGTTCTAGAAACTCTTACTTTTTACTCATACATATTTTAAACAGATACTAACACTATTTTTTCATGTGATACTTTTACTTTTACTTGAGAAATCTTTTGCCCCTGTAGTTTTGTACTTTAACTTGAAGCTGCTTTGTGTAACTTTTCTGGTGCAGGGTCTATCAAGTTATTTTTATCCATGCATTTGTAATTGCTTTGTCTGTAAAGTTTCACAGTATGGCATTAAACCTTTCTATCTTTATGGAGACCAAACCAGGAAAGTTACAGGTCAGATCTGTGGAGAGGCGACCCCGCTCACAGTCAGAATGGATGTTTTTGAGCTAAAATTAATGTTTTTCTAGGTATTTTCAAGCTATAAAACCACTTGTAATTTAATAAATGTAAGTCAGAGCTTGTTTAATGTCACACTGTGGAACATTCCAAGCAAAGGAATGACATATACATAGAAACAAGCTGGTGACGGATCCCTAAATGAAAAGTTACATAGAGCAACTTTAAGTAACAAAACTGAGTACTTCATCCACCACAGAAGAGTAGTAGTAGTAGTAGTAAGAACACAGGAGGTGGAGATCGAGGTCTGACTTCATGACGTCACCGACAAACAGAAGAGCAACACAGCGCTTGTGGTTTATGTGTGTGAATTGCGACAGCGTCTGTAATTACAACTCTACAGGAGGAGACGGGTCAGTAGGTTATGTCACTATGAAAGAATTACAGTAACGCACAGGCCCAATTTAGGATCATGACTATTTTGAGCAGTTATAATTAGGGATGCACCAATCCAGCTTTTTCAGTTCCGATATTGACTGACAGTTCTCAATATCAACCGAGACTGAAAACAGCATTTGTTTCCTTAAAAAAAAAAGATAAAACTGATCCAAATGTGTTATGTGGCAGTTGTTTATCCCTTAAGTAACTACAGAACAGCTTTGTGTAAATAAAAATTTTCTGGGCCAAATAAGACCAGTACATTAATTTATACGTACAACCAGGATACTCAGTCATTATTTGGAAGCCAATATCCGATCCAGCAAATGTCTCAGTCTCAGCACCGATATCTGATACCAGTAGTGTATCGGTGCATCCTTAATTGTAATGACATTGAAGTGATTTAAACTAGTATAATTTAGTTGGCTACTATAAAGAAATAATATGTCAGTTTTTAAAGATGCACAATGTAACTTTATGCAGTTGCTCATCTCCATGGAAATGTAATTGCCTTACCTGATTTCTTTTTTTTCCTTCATGGAGACGAGCAGATGATGAAAAGTTACAGATCCAGTCCATGGAGATGCAGTCCTGCTCACAGAACAATGTCTTTTTTCTGCAAAACAAATATCTTTATTACTATATTATGGAACATTCCAAGCAAAGCAATGACATCTCCATGGTAGCAGACTCCAGCTATAAAGTGACATAGTGCACCTTAAAGGATGTAAGTGCAGTGTGCAATAAATAGACTATTTGAAGAGTAATTATAATGGCTGGTTTTATGCAGTAAACAACTTAGATATAAAATATGTATCATGATTGTGGCAAAAAGTGTAAAGCAAGGTTAAGTCTTTTTTATGTCTTGGTATTTTTAGTTTAAGTTATTTCCAGGCTCTATAAACGTTTCTTTTACATGCATATGAGTACTGTCTTCCTCCTTGTAACTTTTTCCACCTATAGTCCCACATTCGCCTCGGTCCAAATAGGGATGTGGTACACTGCAGAAGTGGATGTCACGTTGCAGTTCAACGTGACTTGAGGGAGTGGGCGCGGGGCCAAAACAAAACGTGATGCAAACCCAACACGAGAATGTGTGTCACATTTGAGCGAGAGGGAAATGGCCGCCATTGCGCAGATATTTGACCTACTTCTATTCCCGCTGAAGGAGACGCAGAGCAGAGCGCAGCGGAGTGCCAGAGCAACAGGTCTGCAGCAGAGCGCGCTTCCAACAGGGACTTTTGGACACATTTAATGGGGTAAGAAAACTTTTCTTTTCGTTTGTAGCACCGTAAGAAACGTGCATTTATCCGCTGGTTTATATATTTAAAAACATTTTTAAAAATGTTTTGATCTTTTGACTCTGCACCAGGCACAAATCTGTCTCCGACAGCTTTCCACAGTTTGGTACTCAAACTTTTCAGAGCTTTGTAGTACAAATATTTATGACAGCGTTGTTTACCTTCTGGCTCCACTCCAACATTGAGTGTTTTGATGGGACCCATGTGACCGCGGTGGCTGCTCTTAGCCCGTCCCCCTGTCTCCTGAGTCCATAACAAACACGCTGTAGATAAGGACAGACACGGCCCTCCCGTGGGCAGTGTCTTCTAGGTTTCAACGTGACTGTGTTTATTTCCACGGGGCTGTCAGCGACACCTCTCTGAACTCAGACTGGCACAATTGCTTTTAGATTTGGGCTTTAGTTTGAACTCTGCGCTACTGCGCCTTTTGTGGCTTTTCAGAAATACGAAGTTAGGAGTATCGCTTATGGTAAGATCCTCTGACTCATTTTATGTTTTTAGCTAATTTCATGCTTAAATGGTGTCATTCGTTGTACGTGGAGTTGTCTTTGAAACTTTTACATTGAGTGGAGTTAATCTCTGCGCTGCGGAGTTTGACAAGATGCTGCATCTCATTGACCCACATCTGTGGTGCGTAACTGCGTCACCAGAACTTTCTCCGATCTTGTGGCATGTTCAAGACTCTAGAACAAATATCTGCAATTGCTTCATTTTGAGTTAACTATCTGTGAAATTTTAATATTACTACAGTACTGATCACTTAATCAGAATAAGTGTAGTTTGCATTGTTAGTGGGGCAGTATGACGGTGTTTTTGTGGAAGTGGGTCGAGCGACCACCGTTGGAAATCTGATCTGTAAACCGCGCCCACATCATATTCGACGCAAACAACTTTCACTGGAGTCGCGCTCACTGCAGAAGCAAAGAAACCTGTTCAGTATTTAAGATTTGTGGAAGATGCACTAACTTAAAAAATATAATTCTGGTTAAATGGCTGAATAAACTGGACTTGAAAGTTAGTCTATTTGTGCATTGGCTTCTCAGTCGCAATTCTTCAAACTTTTTTCAGACGTGTTCAGAGCTGGGGTGAATGACTGTACTGCTGGCTCCACAGCTGATAACCCACTAATTTCATGTCCACTATTTTATAGTTCTATCAAGATTATTGATGATCTATATTTTTTCTTTGGAGGGCTTTTTTTTAACCAACCTCTTCCACTAAATCAGTCTGAAATGTGACCTAGTATTTCAGTAGTTGTATTGTGATATTGTATAATAGTTGTTTTTGGCTGTACAAAATGTACCTGAGTGCCAGGGAGTGGCACAGTGTGGTCCACGTGCACCTGTGCGCGAGATAGAGATTCTGCAGGTTGTCATGGTAACACTGACAGTTGAGGCTAAAGTTAATTAGACGTGTGGGGCCAAGAGGAGGCAGAGGCACTGAGGGTCTAATGAAGTGTGGCAGGAGCACATTCCTCATAAAGTCTGCACATGTTGATATGTGGAGCCTTTGACTTTGAGCAGGTGTCAGAGTAAATCCACTTTATGTCTGATTTTTATTTGGTGTTGTCCAGGGACCCGCTCAGGCTGTAATTACTCAACAGTTTGTGGGCACATGTGCATTTGATCATGTAACATTTAGCTGCATGAAGTGGGCGAGACTTAGAGTGAGTGTGTAGTGTTGGCCTATAAAACCCACCTGACTCTTCATTGAGTTGAGCCTGTGCCCTTTCTCACAGTGTGTTGTGTTTTAGGGACTTGACCATGGCCTCTCCGTCAGCATCTACATCGGTGGGGTCTGAGATGCCCTCTCCTGGAGGCATAGAGGCACTGCAGTTGAAGGTGGGCCCTGTGAAGAGGAGCCTGTTTGGGCCGGTGGACCACCAGCAGCTGCAGCAGGACTTCCAGAGAGTGCTTCGGATGGGAGTGGAGGTGGCAAACAAGCGCTGGAATTTTGACTTCCAGAGGGACGAGCCTGGATCCGGCCCCAACATGGAGTGGGAGGAGCTGAGTTTCCAGGAGGTGCCTGCCTTTTACCGCAGCTGTACATTTCGATCTGCACGGTCAGGAGCAGGGGCCAAACGGCGATCCTCCTCCTCCTCTGGGCAGGGCTCTCCACTGTCCAGCAGCTCGTCCTCTTCAGGAGACGAGTACCTCGAGGTGACCACCAGGGGGTACTACAGGCTAGAGTCAGGCAAGCGCCGGCAGGCTGTCATCACAGGTGAGACAAATGAAAAGGACTTTATATTTAAGTGGCACTTTGAATGTTCGTTGAGTGTAATTTTACCTGGTTTCTTTCTGCAGATTTCTTCAAAGTGAAGAGGAAGAAACTCCTGCATTATAAAGAGTCTTCTCGACTGTAGAAACCCAAAGGGGAGGTTCAGGAGAGCCACATAGTGGACACCCTCTTCTCCACTTCACCTCAGAGATGAAGCTCACATCTGTATCTGTAAATATGTAGCGTTTTCAAACTGACTGTCCTGAAGCTCATTATTTATGGGCTTAAAAAACAACACAACATTTAAATTCAGTACAAAGAAACTACCAGCCACCTACCTAATCAAGCTCAGACTTTACGGTTTTGTGCATAGTTATAAATATCATTTTTTATACTGTTTTCCAAACTTTGATTATACTGTGAATATTTTAGAATGCACTCTTCAGGAAATTATTCAAACCAGGCTCAGTTTTTGCATGAGCCCTTGATAGAATTTGTGTGGGTCTGTGACCTACGACCTATGACCTTTACTCGCTGAAGTCACAAGAGATTATAAAAGGTGGAGTAACTATTTTTGTCTTCCCAAACTCTCAGTCCTGTTATCATCAGAGGTCAGCGGTGGAGGTGATGAGGTAATGCAGTCACTATAGTGACTTAAAATTAGAATAATATTATGTCTATCTATTTATTTTAGGTGCCATGTCACCATTAAATAAAATATAAGAAAATATAAAAAGAGCAATGTGTAAAACGAGGTAGATAAGGTTTTGTGGAAACTTGTGCCACTTCCCCTATAAAGTTTTGACTGTAAGTCAATCAGGGCTTAGACACTCCACCGTTGCCATTCAAAATACAGTTTGGCCAAAACAACATAAAAATGTACATTTGTATTGTATTATAAGCTTTTATATTGGGGGTTTAAATCTTTTGGCAACAATCCCGTACCTTATTATCATTTTATGAGCTTTATGCTTTGAACATGTAGCATCTCCACTTACTGTGAGTGCAGAGGCCAGAGCTGAGGCCCAGGGCTCAGCAGAGGGGGACACTGCTCTGTCTCTGTACTCTGATGTGAGGGTTTGATTTTGTGACATTTTCTGTTGCGTTTGTGGCAGCTGAGGCAGTTGAACCAAAGAAGAATCACTTTTGAATCTCACCTCCAGAGAAACCAGTTCTGGGTCTAAATAACATCACAAGTTTATTACTGACATGGGACCTATAACTGGTAATGGAGTAGTGACCATCCTCACTACAGATTTTGTAGTGACATTTGGATCAAAAGCCATATATATAAATAAATAAATAATATATATATATATATATATATATATATATATATATATATATATATATATATATATATATATATATATATATATATATATATATATATATATATATATATATATATATAGATATATATTACCAATTAATTCTACCTCATAATGTGATTTCATTCAAATTACTTTAAAAAGCAAAAAAAAAAAAAAAAAAGTTCATTCTCAGGTTGTTTTGTGAGTACAGTGGTGAAACAGAAAGAAGCAATATTTCCTTATATACGTACAAAACTATACAATACAAAACTACAATTAATACATATGCCACATCAGATTAGGACTAAACTGGAACCAGCCTGGACTAAACCAGGTCTACACCAGGACTAACCAGCAGGACTCCATACTTGTTTTTGCTGGGTCCTGGTTTGAACCCAGTCTAGTCCAGATGATAAACCAGGTCCAGTTCTTTTATAGTCCTGGTTTAGTCCTGTTCTAGTCCAGGATTAGTTCATAAAGTAATACTAGTTAGTCCCAATTTTGATGTGGTGATTGTGCAATTGGACATATCTTAAAACACATCAGGTAAAGCCACTGAATTTGACGAAGAATGGTCCCTGGTCTAGACTTCTTTTGTTGTCTCCTGGCTCTTTCCTTGAATAGAACAATGTGCTTACGGGGAAAGAAACAGCATTATACAAAAGCTTGAGCAGATCAGCCTTGGCCCCATGTGGCTCAAAGGATTTCGGGTCCAGACGAGTGGCTCTGATTTAGACAGATTTTGCTTTTGTTCGTCTCTCTCTGTTTCTCCACACAACTGCCTCAGCCACTACCAACATTGGCCCTGAAAGCAGTTGGTAATAATCACATTAAAGGCGCACTGTGTAACTTTTCTGGTGCAGGCTCCGTCACCTCGTTGAATTGTTTTGAAAGTTCCGCGACATGGCATTACACTTATCTTTACTGCATGCAAAATTGCTTCAAAAAAAGGTGCTTCATTGCGCAGAAATACTATCCACAGATCTAAAATGTTACTCCTGTCGTCTCCATGGAGATAATCAAGTTCAATGCCATACTGCGGAACATTCCTGGCGAAGCAACGCCGTCAACCCTCTACCAGAAATGTTACGCAGTGCATCTTTAACTCAATTCTGTTCTTTATTTAGCATCTTTATGTGTTTGTTTGTCTTTTCAAATCTAAAAAAATCTATATTAACTTATTTGATTTCCTTTTATGGGGATATAATTATAGACTCCCTCGTTATAACTAATTGTGTTGTTTCAGAAACTATATCTTTGCACTACTCTAAACATGGTTGACAAGAGACCTATTTTATATGGTATTCTATAAAAAAAAAAAAAAAAAAAAAAAAAAAAAATCTCATTCAGAAAGATGGGCAATGATTTTGACACTTAAAAATATAAAATGATAAAAAAAATAGTGGAAGAATTGCCCAAACAAGCTTCTCTAATTCACATGTTGCAGCTATAAATATGTAGTGTTTATTTACGTTGTATATGCATGAATGTGTATCTTTGTTTAACATCTGTAATAATGTAATTTATGTATCATTGCATTATGTCTATTAAGTTGTATGTATTTGAATCTTATCTCTTTAATAGAGGAGAATTGCTGGGATGTTCACTTTTGCCTTATATCATTGACTTCACATAGAGTGTTAAAGAATAAATTAAATAAGGACCTTATAATCACATTTTGTCTTTGGAGGCTCTTTTTTGTTAAAGCAGCAAAAATTAACCTGTTTATATTGTGTGGCATCGAGTTGGGGGTGTTGTACATGTATATCTATGGTGGTTTGTTAGAGATACCATGGAGACACAAGGTACACTCAGCAAAATCAGTGCCAAAAACATTTTAAGATTGTCTGATAACTCAAGAAAAAAGACCAAATGGATTTAAACAATACATTTTTAACAGCACAAATAATCTCATGTTGTAGCTCCAACTGAACCACCTCTTTCTGGTCAGATTGTGTTAAAAATAAAGCTCAGATTGAAGTTTAATAGAGCTTCAGACTTAGACTAGTGTTTTCAATTAGCATCACACTCCAATTGTAAAACTAGTTAATTTCAGAAGTAATATCTAGAGGTGCATAAATGAAAGTGAAACAATAATGTGGATAATGGTGCATTAAAACAAAAATTCATTCTCAGGTTGTTTTGTGAGTACGGTGGTGAAACAGAAAGCAGCAATATTTTCTTATATACACACAAATTACAATTACCTAATACATACGCCACATCAAATTGGGACTAAACTGGAACCAGACCTAGACTAAACCAGGTCTAGAACAGGACTAAACCAAGTCTACACCAGGACTAACCACCAGGACTCCTTACTTGTTTTTGTTGGATCCTGGTTTGGAAAAAAATTTAATAAAAATCTACAGAAGATTTTGCTTTTGTAATACCACCAGATTGAACTCAACTCTATATTTTACAGTTTTAAATTAGGGTTAAACCATGTGATAGTAGTAGGCCTGTAGTCATATTTCAATCATTTTAACCAAGCAATACATAAACAGATATACTGTTATTAGGCTACATTATTTTAATAGACCCATGGGTTATGCCACTACAGAGTTGCCCTGGACGAAATGGAGCTCACCTATATCCACTGCTGTACTTGTAGATTAATAGCACACCCTACAGGACCTTTTAAGCAACTGCAAAACATTTTATATAATATGTGAAATATGTGAAAACAGTTATTGATTCTAGGTCAAAGGTTTGCTTTTGAGAATGAGGCAAAACTGCTTTGTCCACTGATCCAAATGTGAATAATGGTAAAATATATTATGCAAAATTTACTTTATTTATGTCATAATGTTGTTATCTAATCAAAAACATGCCTGGGGTTGTGTTTTGTTTCAGTCACACGTTTGAGTAATCCCCCACAGAGGAGGGATCAAGTCGTTGTTTTGCAAGTCTCAAGTTAGTTTCAAGTCTTTAACCTCAAGTCCAAGTCAAATACAGGCAAGACCAAGTCAAGTCTCAAGTCACTGGCCCATGAGTCCAGGTCAAGTCCAAGTTGTTTGCTTTGAGCTTCAAGTCATTTCAAGTCTTTAACCCGAAGTACCAAATATAGTTTATGAGTACAATTTATCTTAAAATTCATATACATTGCAAAAATCTAAAGTCATAGTATATTTATATATGAGTATTTATAGAGTATGTAAGAGTTGTTGAAATTTTATTTTTCCTTTTTAAATGTCTTGACAAGATCTTTGTGTGAATCATGACAGTCAGAATAGAAAGAATTCAGATTTAAAAGTGCTTCTCAAGTCTTCTCAAGTAACAGGGCTCAAGTCAGAGTCAAGTCCCAAGTCTTAGTCCATTTTATCAAGTCAACTCTCAATTCCTAAAATAGTGACTCAAGGCTGACTTGAGTCCAAGTCATGACTTGCAAGTCCCCACTTTTGATCCTCCATTATTAATCTGTCTACATCTCCAAAGCCAAAAATGCTCTGTTCCACCTTGTGATGACACAAAGCGATAGTTTTCAAGTTAACTTTTACCTTTTATTCAGTAGAGATTGGCAATTCCAGGTCTGAAATGAACCAAATGATTCTAGTGAAGATGTATGCACTTTAAAAACACAGTGGGGCACTTCCCGACATCACAAGTTGGAACATAGATTAGTAAATAGAGTAATATAAGCCCGTTAAGTGAATACTATTCTGACAGTGAAATTAAATGTAGTAAATCAGTTCTTTTCACACCAAGTACTACCTAAGAAAATGTGGATTATGTAGCACCAGATTAAACTGTAGTTATAACAGAACTAAAACAGATCTGAACAGGACTACACCCAGTCTGTAATAGGACTAAACCATGAAGTAGTTCTATAAGGTCCAACCCCAGGAAAACTAGAAAGACAGGGGATCTCACATAGCACCAGGGGAATGTAGTGTAAGTTTTAAACCACCTATGTATTTTCTCTCTAAGTGCAACTACTGCATGAAACAAACCAATAAAAAGTTTAAATGTGCTTCACGTTTAATTCAAAACGTAAAATGCATTCACAATTGCTATTTTAAAACATAGTGGTGTGCATAAATAAAATGGAAAGAAAAAAGAAAAAAAACTTGTAAAATGCACCACAGATTTTGTTGCACATTCAACTGAAATCCTGTACATTCAGTTACATTGGTTTGGCAGAGACAGAGACAGAGACAGGAGAGGTCACACAAACGAAAGGAACCAGCCCCGATTAAAGGCCAAACAGAAAAACAAAACTAAGGCAAAAAGTGGTTAGTGTAAACTGTCACTGTGCAAAATCAAAAGACATGAGATGCATAAATGATCAACTGTATTAAAGGTGCACTGTGTAACTTTTCTGTTGGAGGGTCTGTCACCTGTTGTCTCTGTGGAGATGTTCTTGCTTTAAATTTATGGTCTAATCAACTTTTCGTGCATTTGTTGCTATAGTACATGTAACTATACTCTTTGTTTTGTCCTTTCTTAATTAAGTAATGATAAATGAATAAACCACCAGGTCAGATCTGTGGAAAGGCGAGCCCACTCACAGTAAAAATGCAATATGCTTAAGCTTTAAAAACATCTGTAATTGAATAAATGCATTATAGACAGGGGTGTGCAAAAATATCAAAATATCGGTATATCATATCATTTCATGTGATGATACAGTATTGGTATCGTGGGCTGCTGTATCGATATATCGTCAAGAGTATTTTTTGGTATATTTTACTAAATTATTTTGTTACAGAGCTACAGTTTAGAGTTTATTCTAGCTACATGTTTATGTCACATATTTGATATTTTCACTCTTTTGATGATTAAAATGTTTGTGTTTCATATTAACTTTGCACAAAATGTGGTTTAACAAATATTTTTAGTATCACACCCATGATTTTGATTTTATTTTTTATTGAAGTGTATTGAATGGTTTAGAAATATACCGTACGGAATTGAAAGTGCACTGTATCGAGATATGTATTGTATCGTGGCCTATGTATCAAGGTGTGTATCGTATCGGCAACGTCTTTCTGATACGCAGCCCTAATTATAGAAACACAAGTTAATGCTGTACCGTGGAACAGTTCATGCAACGCAATAAAATTTCCAGAGAGACAAGTAAGTGGCAGACTTCCCATCAGTTACGGGAAGTTACATAACGCACCTTTAAAATCCTTCTATATAAGCTATGTCAAAGAACCTGTCAGTTCAATAAAATCAATTTTTTTGCAACCATTATTAAACAAGAAAACAGGTCAGATTTATAAATAAAAAAAAATAAAGCAAATAAAAAAAGTCCCCAAAACAAATGCATAATCCAAAAATAAAAGACAGTTTAAAAAAAAAATGCATCAATTAAGGTACATCCGATTGCAGCCAGTGTATGGCATAGAATAAAAAAACACTAAATGTAAACAAAAATTATTTAGTAAACATCTAGTAAATATTTGAGATTTATGGAATGAAGAACAGAGATTGGTTGGTTAAGAAATACCTAGGGATGCACCGGTCCAACTTTTTCAGTTCCGACACTGATATTTTGACTTTTAAGTATCCGATATCAGTGTAGGGACAGAAAATGTCACTCATTTCCTTAAGATACAGTAAAGCTATTACGAAAGAGATCCAACTGTGTTATGTAATTGCATCCTTCAAATATCTATTGATAACCCGATAGATAACCCTATGTCCTGCCAATCATCATATTATTTTTGCACAGTTTTTCCTTACGACCTCTTGTATATTGCTGAGATTTTATTACATATTTTCTATTTTCTATTGACTTATATGTATACATTTATATAATTATGCCTTATTTGACACCAATCTCTTGCTTACTTATTTAGAATGAATTATTATTACTATTTATATTTTTTACTCTTTGTTATTATATTATTTTGTGATGTGTGAGCTACTGTGTCCAAATAATTTCCCTTGTGGATCAATAAATAATAAAGTCTAACAACTACATATGAATAAAAGTTTAAACATTATGTCACATTCTAGGCCTGTAAATAGTCTTATCAAATCCAATTAAAGGTCCAACCAGGATATCAGATAAAATTTTTCAGATATTCAAAACTAGTATCGTTATCGGTGCATCCCTAGTAAAAAAATGTCACCAAATTAAAACACATTGCACTATAGAGTCCACCCTGATTGAAAAGTCCTCTCCACAGTTAAAACATTAATTACAAATATAGACAGTTCATTTCTTGCTGTTCTCTGGATTGGTGTAAGTAAGTGTCAAAATTAAAACCAATAATAATTACTTTCAAAGCCTAATAACATGAAACTTTGGTGGTAATTTCCCAGTATCATTCAGCTATTAATTTGTGCATATAAACGTGTACTATCAATTAAATTCAAGTGGTTACGTTAAAAAACCCTGAAAAATTACAATACCTACTGTAGTGCAAGGTTCATATTTCAAAATAAAAGCACGTAAGCACTGTACATATTTACAAAGGCTAAAATGCAGTCAGTATACATTCTAAAAAAGGTCACCAAACCTTTCAAATTAAAAGCCCACACACAGTAAGTTCTATTTACATCCATTCAGTTTTTTGACTATTTACACCTTTACTTTGAAGGGCACCAGGCCTAGATTCTTTCACGTAGGCACTTCATCTGTCACCGAAAATGTCAGTTTAAAATTACAACCTTCACTCACACCAAACACTCACCGAATAATGGGAGTTTCTTTCTGGGTTCAAAGTGTCACAGTAAAAGAAGTCGAACTATTTTAGACTATATTTTTCGCTCTTTTTTTTTCTCTTTTGTTTCAAAGTTGTCGCTGAGAGGCCCTTCGCTCTCTCCACATCGCTCTCACCTCTCTGAAGATTAAGGGAGAAATGAAGACAATACTGCACCCTGTCTGTAAGAAAAAACAACAACAACACAGATTTAAGCAAGTGAAGGTGTATAGGTGGGTTTCATATGACATGAAAAGATTCTACAGGCTAATTATACATAATGGCAATTATTATTCATTATTCATTATTTAGAGACAACTGGCTCTTGCCCCACATCTGGTAGTATTACCTCACAATTTAATCTGAAAGAATATACCATATTTGCTTTATTAAGGATGCATATTTTGCAATATGTGTTAAAAATTAGGAGAAAATTAAAAGTAAGGACAATTATCAAGACCAGGGGTGACAAAACTTTTTTCTCTGGGATCCACATTATCGCTCTTGACTGTGATGGGGGGCTGGGGTTGAGTAGGCCGTTTAACAGAATTGATGACCCTGACGATGCAGATTATATTGTTGGAAACCACCACACGTTGTTTACATATCAGACAAACTGCACGGTCCTTACACTGAACAAAAAAAATAACTGGTCGTCCACTGTTCTTTGAAAACTCAGCACCCTCTGTCAAGTTTTTCTATTTTAACACTTGCCATTTTGTTGTCCTAAACTGCACTACAGAACTCTGCGCGTACGTTGACTGTCACCGTTTGATCTTGTGCGTTTGATTTGGCGGCAAATGTAAATACGTCATATAATTCTTTAAATATAAATACTTCATATAAATATAATTTTTAAATTGAAAAATCATCAAAATACAAAATTCAGACGTGTTATTATTTGCCAAAAAGTAATAAAAAAAAATAGGCCATGACAACTTCTGAGGATTGCCTCATAGGGCCAGTTCATGTGGTGGGGGACAGAGGGGCGTGGAGGGCTGGAGTAGTTTGATGACCCCTGACCCCATGTTTTTAATGTTATCTGAAAGTGAAAAGATCCAACCTTCTGGCTTATTTTTCGTTTACAGAAAATAGGCCCTGACAAAGAAAACACATTTCAATTCAGTGTTTTTATATACAAAAATATTGGATTAAATAACAAGATTCAAATATCGAGCGCTATTGCCACCACAGTATTAGTATCACTGAATTATCATCTTAAAATCACTAAATGTACTTACCATGATAACAAAAAAGTAGAACACATGCATCCAGCCCAGCTTGCTCTCGATCAGGGACACCAAGTACTAAGAAGGAAAACACATTGGGTCAAATATACAATACATTAAATGGTCCTATTTTACATAAAACTGATTCTTGTGAGCTTTAAGCCATGTTATAATGTTGTTACCTCATGAAAAACATACCTGGAGTTGTGTTTTATTTATTCACACATGGATGAGCAACCCTGCATTATATTTCGGTCTATATCACCAAAGGTCTCGTGATGTCATGAAGCAGTAGTTTTGAAATTAACACTACCTTTTTTACTTTTGAGTTCACTAGATTTGGGCAATTCCAGGTCTGAAAGTGGAGTATGAAGTTTAAAAAAACAGGATAGCACTTTATGTATTACCACATGACATCACAAGGTGGAATGTTTTCTATTAAACATGTGTGAATGAAACACAACTCTGGGTATTTGTTTGATGAGGAAACAACATTACAACATAATTCAGGAAATAGTGCAAGATGGGCCCTTTAAATAATGCAACAGTGTCAAAGTGTATTTTATATTTACCTGTCCCACGGCGGCTCCGATGCTCCCGGTCCCGTCCACGATCCCTGTGACTGTGGCCAGAGCCTCCTGACTGCCCCGGAGCGCGTCCTGACGACCCAGATCTGCGGAGATGGCTGAGCTGATCATGTTTGAGGGACCTCCAGTGAAGAAACCAGTGGTGGCCAATAACACGGCATTTATGACCTGGTTATTGGGAGAGTCTGTGAAAAGAGATAAAGATAAACAGTTTTATTTTGTGATATTGTGTGTGGTAATACAGTAAAAATATTTCTCATAATACTAACATGACAAAAACAAGGCAAACGTAATTGAACAATAAGAAATAAAGGTCAGAGATAAAAGTGTTGCTATGAAAATATGGAAAATGTAATATATGTAGTAAAAAATTAAAAGTATTATAAAAATGATACAAAAAGTAATAATTCCTATTCCTCTACCCACTGCTTTTACAAACATATTTTAATCATATTTCTGATAGATTTCCACACTATTGTCCGATTATTTTCAAGATAAAAACTATGTAAAAGTTGAATAATAAGAAATAGAGGTAACTAGGGGTGTGCAAAAATATTGAAATATCGATATATCGTATCATTTAATGTGATGATACAGTATCAATTTTGTGGCTGGTGTATCAAGACTATTTTTGGTATGTTTTACTAAAATATTTTGTCACAGAGCTACAGTTTTGTTGCTTGTTTAGAGGAAAGAAATTCCTTTGTGCAACACATTTGACATTTTCACAGTTTTTAAGATTAAAATGTTTGCGTTTCATTTGAACTTTGCACTAGAAGTGGTTTAATAAAGCCTTTTAGTATCACAGCAATGATTAAGCCTTTATTTTTACTGAACTGTATCGAATCAATTTGAAATATATCGTATCAAATCAAAAGTGCACTGTATCGAGGTATGTATCGTATCGGCAACTTCTTAATGATACCCAACCCTAGAGGTGACAGATAAAAACATTGCTATGGAAATCTGGAAAATGTAAGCACTACTGTTTGTCTACAAAATAAATAAAACAAAATATTGGGTATAGTTTAGTATGATAGTCAAAAATGAAAAAAAAAATTAACAAAACAGTACAACACTGCATTTACAGACATATTTTAAATCATACTTGTATTGGATTTCCACACTATTGTCAGCATATTTTCAAATAATAACTTACGGCTAAATCCTCCAAGAGCTCCCATTGCAAACAGCAAACTCAAAGCTAAAACTGGAGACCTCTTCCCCATAAAATCAGATATTAGACCCTGTATTGTTCCACCTGAAAGACAAAAACAAACTTATAGTCATAGTAATACACATACATATTAATTTAAAAGGTTGACTATGTAACTTTTTGTTTGGGGGTCCGGCACCTGCTTGTTTCTATGGAGATGTCATTGCTCTGCCTGGAATGTTCCACAGCGTGACAATAAACAGCTTTACCTTACATTTATTACATTACAGGTGGTTTCATGACTCAAAAATACCAAGAAAAACAGACATTCTGACTCTGAGTGGGGTCACCTCTCCATAGATCTGAACTGTAACTCGGTCTGGCTTGGTCTGCATGAAAATAACAAGGTTTAATACTTTAAAACATTCTAGACAGAGCAATGGCATCTCCACGGAGAAAGGCATTTGTAAAGTTACACAGTGCACCTTTAATCAAACTTAAAGAATAAACAGTATATTAAACACAATAAAACTTTTTGAGCTTACCAATGATTCCTCCAACATCGTACCACACAGACAGACGATCAGCGTCGGCTTCTTTCCAGCCAAAGTTGCTACTCAAGTAAAACGGGAGCCAAAAGAAAAAGGAGTAGTTGACGAGCTTTAAACATGCGTACGCCAGGGAATACTGCAAAACAAAAAACAAAAACATTAAACTCTCACAAAATATGTAACAATAGTTTTTCAGAAGTCAAGGTTAATTCATGATTAAAGGTGAATTATGAAACTTTTCTGGTAGGCTTGGTAGCATCTCCTGCATATCGCCATGGTAATAACTTTTTAAAAAACCTTTATTTAACCAGGAGAGAAATATCGAAAACTCTTTTTCAAGGAGGACCTGGCCAAGTCAGGAGCATTGACAAAGGAACAATACATAGAATCAATAGTTCTGAATTAAATTAAAGTGCAAGAGTCATTTACTTTACTGAGGTAATTCTAGGCAAATCAATAACATTTCCATGGAGACTAGCAGGTGGTGGACCTTTACCAGAAAAGTTACACAGTGTGCCTTTAAAAAATAAATAATAAAAAAGAAAACAACAAAATGAGCATCAGATGAAGAAAAGAGGTAGAGCACTTCTCTGGGTCATAAAAAAAGTAAAAAAAATAGCAGTACAGGCGCTCTACGAGGGTTAAACTGGTAATCTTAACAGAATTGATTGATTATGCCCTGATGAAGACTATCTTACTGGTCGAAACGCAGGCGTCCCTTCAGGCAATACAGGACTTTTAATATATGCAGTCGGAGTGCCTCGGGTTTGTGCCTTTTCCACTTTTACATTTTTCAGTAAGGGTAACTTTCTATTAAACAAATTGAGCATGTTTGATTTCTTACCGGTAACACCCCTGGGAGACAGAAGGCCTGAAAGAAGCCTATAGGTTGAGGGTCCTGGGGTGGTCCTTCGTCACTTTGCTGAATGGGGTGGTCTCTCTGTGCGTAAACCTCCACCTCCACCTCGTCCTCTTCGTCGCTCATCAGGGGTCTGTGACTGTCCGAGTCTGTCTCCACCGGACCCAGGCCCGTCTCTGACTCTGAACTCAAACCTGAAACACAACAAATGTATTTTATTATTTTAGCAATTGTTATACAGTAAGCACAGAGACAGACGACTGTAACGTTTTTGATTAAAGCTGCGTTACTTGATTCTCAAAATGTTAAAGGACAAATTAGGTATTTATAGCCCCTGTAACCATTTTCCATGTATTTGAGCAAAATGTACCAGTAAAGATATATCATATGCAGTATTTTATGTAAGCAGTTCTTGAGGTCAGATATTCACTGTGTACTGTCTGCATTTAATAAAATAAAATGTTTTCTTGTCTAATAATCAGTAAATGTGTGTGTTTTTTATTATTATTTATTAAAGGCAACAAAATATAACATTTAACAAGATACAATAATCAACATAAAAACAGACCACAAAAACATAGAGCAACACCCACAACAAATACAAAATAACACCCCCCGACCACACACCGACACAAATTTAGTTAAATAAAACAAAAGTAATGTGGTAGTGTAGCATAAACACACCGCTATGCCCGCTTACATTGATATATTCCTTTCCTTTTCTGTCTCTTTCTCCCCCCATTTTTAAATAAACATTTTTAGTTCCTATACTTAAACTAATATTATTTTCACCATCATCATTTCCTTTCATCATCTTTTACTATGTCAACAGCTCTAAAAGTTGAGAAAAGTGCTTGTAAAGTCATTATGGTGAAAAATTGGGATGCAGGTAACAGATAAGTGCGGAATAAGTCTGAACCACTGCAAACAGTTTAAAACATTTTGCATAAAAATGACATAAGATCTGACGTTATCTACATTGTATTTGTCAAACTTTAACACACATGGGTTTAGTTAGGGCAGATAGCATCCTAGTGTGCAACCCACAAGCTAAAAATATTCAGTTCTTTCAGAGAAGTACATACCCACTTCCTTTGGCGATGTGAGGAGGCCGAAGAAGACCACAATCCCACCGGCAAACTGCACCACTGACGTCACCAGGAAGGCATACTGGACAAAAACAGATACAGGTCAGAGGGTATAGTAGATCTGGGTGATATGTTCTCAGTTGATAATAGCTTTTGTTACACTTGATCTTGACTGAAAATTATTGTTGAAAGCCATTTTTATTAGTTTTTCATATATTTTCCTAAACCAAGTGAACTCTGAACTCCAAACCAAAATGCTTTTACTGACAGAAAATTGCCTATGGACCTACAAAATTAAATTTCCCAAGCTTATATCAGTGATGATTACAAATGCCTGAATCTTAGTCTTAGTTTTCATTTTAAGGAAACTTGTTATATCTTTTTATAGTGTTGTCACGATAGTAACATCTCAATTTTGATATTAAGAAACAGACTCAATACTCAATTCTGATTCTGATAATGCAATGATAATAAAAAAAACTCATTTTTTAGACAATAGAATGTAATTTTCAACATTATATCGAGAGATTTTCTTTTATATTACCATGTTCTTATATCTGTGTAATCCCTCAGTGGTCCAGGAAGGTTCCACAGTGGTCCATGGGCGTATACTAGGCTATGTGCTTTTACACTTGATCTGGTACATCTTAAGATCATTCTAAACCTACTCAGGAAAGCTTAATTTTTGTCCTGTGAATTTAACTTTCTTAGTATTGATACAAGCTCACATTAGTATGTAGTTTCAATACTAGTTTTATCAATTAGTATCTGATTTTTTTATAATTTTGACAAGCCTGTCTATATATCTAATATATATTACTTTACCTCATAGCCATACTTCAAAACACTAGAGGCCAGAAATGCACCAAGGATGTTTCCGACAGAAGCACAGGCGCTCCACAGACCAAAGATGAAGCCACGCCTGGAAAACAAATGAATCATTGTTAAGCTGTTGTTTAGTTTAGTTAGTATGTTTAGTTATGCTAAGGTTTGCTTCTAGTATACAAGATTTTGTGGTGGTTGTGTAAACACAGCCACCTCCTTAACTTAATTGTTCTTCTATTTCCATTTGAACTCATTAGTCTGTCTAAAACGACCTATCTGATGCACTCAAGAACAAACTGGGAATGACGATGGTACAAAGAGACTGGGGGAGATGAGAAAAAAAAATCCACGTATCTATAAATGCGATTTTTTCAGATACTTGGAAAAAAAAAGTGCATATCAGCCAATATAAGTTTGGCATCAATACATCACTCATACTTATGCACTATATTGTACTTTAGAACTAGGGGTGTTGAAAAATATTATATAAATTATAATATAAATATCGATACATTGTTCATTTGATGATACAGGGGGCTGCTGTATTGATATATCATCAAGAGTATTTTTTGGTATATTTTACTAAATTATGTTGTTACAGTGCTACAGTTTTGTCATTTGTTCAGAGGATGGAAACTCATTTATGCGACACGTTTGACATTTTCACTGTTTTGAGGATTAAAATGTTTGTGCTTCATATGAACTTTGCACAAGAAGTGGTTTAACAAAGATTTTTAGTATCACATTCACGATTTAGTGTTTTTTTTGTTTTTTTTTAATGAATCATATCAAATGGATTTGAAATATATTGTATCAAATTGAAAGTGCACCGTATCGAGGTATGTATTAGCTTCTTAATGATACCCAGCCCTATTTATTATAACATTTGCTTTTATAATCTTTTATATGGGTACATGTGAAAATATTACATTATATACTACACATAACCAAACTATAACCAAATTTCTCTTGGCCCTTAGGCTTCCAGGTAAAATTTAGAGCGATTTGGTTTTTAAACTCTACCCTCCCATTGATGTACATTGGAATATTGTGTGATTTTAGTATTAAAATGTTTGTATTAACCTGCTCTACATTATCCTTGAGTTTAACTGAGCTATTTTGTGGCTCCAAATTCGCTCCTGTAACCATTTGTCACACTCGCTTAGTCCACTTCTTTATACAGTCTATGGTTCCAACTAAGTCAGTTCTCTGAATGAAACAAAGCACAACTCCTGGTTTGTTTTCTATGAGGCAACAGCATTATAACATGTCTTAAAGCTCACAAGAGTCAATTTTGTGTAATATTGGACCTTTAAGGAAAACACCCTTTATATTTACAAAAGACTGTTGTAGCTGTTGTAGCTCCAGCTAAGTCCGTTCTTTATGGGCAGACTGTGCTCAAATAAAGGTCAGATTAAAGTCTAACAAAGCCTCAGACAGAGCGGAGTCTACAGTTAGCATCACATCACCAGATAATGTTGAGGACCTCAGATGCAAATTATCAATAAACAGCATTCCTATAATTTCATTACAGTTCTATGTCTATGTTTTAGTGTTTTATTGTAAGGATAGATTTAAAGTTCTTTTATTGGTTTATAAAGCTCTTAATGGTCTTAATCCTATTTATTTATCTAATCTGTTTTTATCATATGAGCTTCTCAAACTCTCAGGTCCTCAGGTCTCATCTTTTAACTGTCCCAAGAGTCCAAACTAAAACTCATGTTGAAGAGTCATTCAGCTTTTACGGCCCCCATTTGTGTAAGAGTCTACCTGAGGTCTGCTGCGAGTGTTCATATTTTTAAAAGTGAACTCAAAACTTATCTTTTTAATTTAGCTTTTAATTGAAACTTTTACTTGTATTAAAATTATTATTATTATTAAATTAAATTATGATTACTATTTTACTTAGTCTCCATCTAATTTTAGCTCTCCATTTTTAATTTTTACTCTAACCTTTAGGAGCTTTATGTTTATGTTTTATGTTTCTGTTTAAATTGTTGTATATATGGACAAAACAATGGGGTGGGGTTGCTGTTGTTTTTAATTATTGTAATTTTTCTGTTGCATGTGAAGCATTTTGTGCTACATTTCAAATGTATGAAAAGTGCTATATAGATAAAGTTTGATAGATTGATAGATTGATTGATATTGTGCAACAGACAAGTTCCCCTTGAACATAACATCTTTCAAAGTCAATATTTACAAAGAAAGAAATCAATTAACACCAGTGTTCATCTTTGGCTGCGTCTCATTTCTCTTTCCTTGCTTCCTTTTCTTTGATTCCTCTCCTCGATCCTCCATTTTTCAGCTGTCAATCAAATGTGTCGTAATAAGTAGTGTCCCAAAGAAAACCATGGAAGAAAGGAGTAAACATGAGACATCAGATAAAATAATCAAACTTTATTGGTCTCAGTGAGGAGTTTATATCCTCTCTCCTCCCTGTGTCTCCTCTGTAGGCAGGACTTTGACCGCCACGTTTTTGCCGAATTGAGGAGAAAGAAGCGAGGAAAGAGAAACGAGACACGGCCACTGTCAATTCCACGCTCCAAAGGAAACAAAAATAAAACTCACCCGCTCTTCCCAAACCAGTTTCCCATCACAGCCACCACACAGGGCCAGACCGCAGACTGCAGGAGCCCATTGAGCACCCACAGCCCACAGTACAGGTACACATTATAGATCTTCAGCCATTCTGTTACTGTGCCAAACAAGAACTCCTAAAAACACACACAGTTATGAGTCAATTTTTACTTTCACTCTTATCAAAACATCAATGGCATATTTGTTACAGTAGTTCAAGGGTCAGTGTGCTCACGACTCCGGCTGCATGAAGATTTGTGATTAGATTTGCAATTTACGTTCTAAATAAAAGGGCCCATATTATGCTATTTTGTAATCTACGATCATGTTTTTTCCTCATTAAAACCTATCTGGAGTTGTGTTTTGTTTCATTCACACATGTTTAACATGCTAAATGCAAGAAGTGCTCCACTGTGTTTTTAAACTCCATACACCTTCACTAGAAACATATGGATCACTTGAGCCGTGGAATTGCCAATTTCTATTGACCAAAAGCAAAAAGGAGCTGTTAACTTGAAAAGTAACGCTTCATAACATCATAAGGTTGAACAGAGCATTCTGAGCTTTCGAGATCTAGACAGCCTGATGATAAAGGGTTACTGAGACGTGTAAATGAAACAAAACACAACTCCAGCTATGTTTTTCATGAGGTAACAGAATTACAAAATGACTAGGCGCTCACATTTTGTGCAGTATGCGACTTTTAGGGATTCTACAAACTGCTAAATTAACAGAAAAGTAATGCATTTCTGAACACTGCACACATTTGCGGAGGTTGAAACTATAAAGACTAAGGCTGAACGATTTTAAGAAAACACTGAAGTGTGAATTTTCTGGCAGATATTGCGATTTTGATTTCATCAACAATTTTTTTCAAGTCAAGTTTCAGTGCACATAAACATCATAAACTTACATCATACCAACTGTGACTCGTCCTCTCTAACACCACTCTACAAACATTTCCTGTACTCCGCTTTCCTTTCTTTCAATATACATTGAGTAATAATATATTTAATGCAGCTTTGCGCACATTTGTTTACGCTTTACAGAAACAAAACTTAAAACCACATGGATAATTTGCATAACAATAATAAACTATAAGCTGAAAAAAAAACAGCAGGCTCCTTGTGCCCTGATGTGGTCAGCCTCTGTCAGACTAAAGGACACAACTCAGTGGAATATGTGTGTTCTCTCTGTGACAGAGGATGTGCTGATGATGGTGAGTGTTAATTTCTATTATTATCTAACTGAAATCACAACTGTGAACTGTTATAATGGCCAAACCACAAAGGCTGTTTGGTAGAATGTTTTCTGTCTGTATTAAGGCTGAACGATCTATTGCGATCTCAGACAACACAATTTTGGGAGCATCAAAGCCACATTTTTTTTGCAATGCTCCTAAAGTCCAATTTATGGATTTATGGATCTGCATCGAGGTCTATGCACCGTGAAGGAATTCACCGCCACAATGAGATGAGGCTCGGATTGAAACCTGGCATTTGTGTAAAGTTTAACATGAATCATCTCCAACACGACAGAAGCACAGAACAGACTCACCACTATAGCTGATCCACAGAGGCCCACACACAGAACATAACGGAGATTGACTCTGTCTCCGATCACACCGCTCAGGTACAGGCCCTGGAAGGTCAAACAACATAATAACAAAAATATTAATACAAGATAATGGAGAAGCTGTAATAGACATTTTAATTGGGAAAACTGCATTGTTTTCTACCCACCACAGCGTATGAAAACAGGAAGATAGAGTCCAGTGCTCCAAGAAACAAAGTGGCCTCCTGCTCATCTGCAAACAGGTGATTGTCCTCCCAGGTCTAAAATAATAAAATCAACTTTAGATTTCATGCTCAACTGTTGTATTTCGCTATGGATCTTAAAGGTGCACTGTGTAACTTTTCTGGTCTGCTGGTCTGCAACCACACTATGACATTAAAAACTAATCTGTCTTACATTTATTCAGTTACAGGTGTTATTTATTGCTCAAAAATATCTTCAAAAACATCCATTCTTATTGTGAGTGGGATCGCCTCTCCACAGATCTAACCTGTAATTTGGCTTGCAAGTCTCCATGGAGATTCTCAAGTTTATGGCCATACTGTGGAACATTCTAGGCATATCTCCATGGAGACAAGCAGGTGACGAGAGAACCTCCAGCAAGGCAAGTTACACAAATGCCTATGACAGATTGAACTACTCATTTTACAAAAACACAATTAACATTATATTTAAGATTTAAAAAAACAAAAAACAAACAAAAACATTCACACTTGTTTTCCCAATTTTGTCATTTTTTAGGGTTTTCCAAAACTGTTACCAAACAAAAACTCCTCCTAAAGTACACAGAAATGATTATCTGACAAATACAAATACAACAAAACACCTTTATTTTGTTGAAATCATGTTTGAAGCCTCAGACAAAATGTGTTTCTTGTGTGTAAATTGTGCTGAACTTTTGGATAGAATTCAACGTCATTTCCACTTCCTGTGATGTTTAACATATTACCCAACTTTTCTTCACAAACTGCTTCTTGATTGATGTAATTTATTCTTACAACAGGTATTATCCCACCAAATTAAGTCAAAACTACTTTCATACACACTTTGAATGAATGCAGATGCTGTCGGTTTATACCTCAGATGGAGAGAAGTTAGGAGAAGTGCCATTTTGCAGAGTCGGTGTCCACTGAGCCGAGATACTGACTTTCACGTTGCTGAATGTTTTCCTGGATGAGTGTAGCAGCACATAACTGAAAACAGAAAGCATAAAGTCAAACATGAGTCAAAACACATCTGGCCACAACAGAGCGGTCTCAGTCTCGTTTTGAGGATGTGAGAAAACTGCAGGAATAAAATAATATATTTTACGGTCATGAGGTCATATTCTGGACATAAACGAGTTCTGTCCAGTTAAACTCATTAAAAGGGCCCATATTACTCTATTTTCTGATTTGTGTTATAATGTTTCCTCATCAAAAACACACCCAGAATTGTGTTTTGTTTCATTCACTCATGTTTAACACACAAACCTGTTCTTCTCTCGAACAGAAAACACTCTGTTCCAGCCTGTGATGTCAGTAATACAGGAAGTGCTCCAGCGTGTTTTGAAACTCCACCTTCACTAGAATCATTTAGCTCATTTCAGCCCTGGAATTGCCAATCTACACTGAATAAATGGTAAAACGTGGTTGCTAACTTGAAAACTACACGTTGCAACAGAGCATTTTGAGCTTCGGATACATCGACATCCCAACAATAAAGGATTACTCAAACTTTGTGAATGAAACAAAACACAACTGCAGGTCTGTAACAAAAGCTCACAAGAGTCAAGTTTACGTAACATAAGACTTTTAAGATAAACCCGCAACTGGAGGCAACAGTGAAGTGGAACAGAATGTGATTTCAATGGGGAATTTGGGACTAACCGCAGAACATCATAAAATAAAATCCTTTTGGCAAATGAAAAAACAACCACGTACAAGAAAGCAACATCAGACCATGGTTAGAAAACATGAACACAGTGTATTTGTTTATCTAACAGAAGACAATTATACACACAACACTTTTGATGAAGGCGAAGTCTTGAGTTTTAATTCATAACATCCTTTTCCATCCTTCTTTGCAAAGCTCAGATATCATGGAGGCTTGTATTTCCCTGCGTAATGCAACTAAGAACATCAAAATTGTAGAAATGAGTAGTTATTTATTATTACCACCTAATCTCTTGATCTCATACTAATTCTGATAAAGAGCAAAGATCATTAAGTTATAAACAGTATATAAAGCTATTCAGGAAAAGTCAGTTGGTCTTTTTGTGTTATTTAAGTTATCTGAGTACTGATACTTTTGACAAGTTGATAACCTCGACACAAACTAGTCCAAGGTAATGATTGTAATATTAGCTGTACCTGTATTATCTGTAAAAAGGGGACAACATATCGACTTAAACGCACAGTTTTCTGCTGACTGACAGAAATTGAGACCAACCGTTGCTTTGATAAAGTAAACATGACATTGGCCCCGAGGAGTCTCACACAAATATTGACCTCTATTTTAACTGAAAAGAGAGAAGGGGCTGTTTACAATGACGGTTAAACAACTGCCTAATGAATATTTTTTGTTTGGCTTTTTGGAAATGAATGAACAATAAATAAACCAAGAAATACATCTGACATTGGCTTAAACACACTTCTTCTTTAAAGTGCCCATTTTACTCCATTTTGTGATCTATGTCATAATGTTTCCTCATCGCAAACGTACCTGGAGTTGTGTTTTGTTTCATTCACACACGTTTAACACACAAACTCTCAAAGTGAAACCTCTCTGTTCCACATTGTGATGTCAGGTGGTAATACAGGATGTGGTCCGCTTTGTTTTTAAACTTTCCGCCTTGTACCTGCCACTCAAGAGATGGAAAAGAACATTTTGAACTTTTGAGGTGATATAAACAGACTAATAATAAAAGTGTTACTCAAACATGTGTGAATGAAACATGATACAACTCCAGGTATGTTTGCAATGAGATAACATCATAACATGGTTTATAGATCACAAGAGTCAATTTTATGTCATATAGGACCTTTAAAAGACTAAGCAAATTAAAGAGCACGGGTCGTTTCCTTGTTTCCCGTATACTCTACAATCTAAAAAGAGTCTACAACTTAAACCTTGACTTGTACATGTGGCAATCTTTAAATAGTCTGACCCGACCTGATGTAACCCTGGACCTTTCACCCAAATTACAAGCTCAAAAACATAGAGACCATTCTGTACATACTTTCACAAGTCAAAAGGGCAGCGCAATATATCGCTATCAAAGCAAAAACGCAATTTGATTTGGAGTAATAAAATCGTAAAGTCTGATAATTCTTATCTTTTTATAGAAGAATCTTGTTTATATAGGTCTAAATTACAGGTACAACATGTTCTGAAATGCATGGGATTCTTGTATTAGTCAGGACTAATCAGTTCATATTTCAGTCTTGTCTCAAATGTTAATGATCCTGGAGTTGTTTACAATATACACTATGAACACAATTCGGCTTTTTAAACATATATTGCAAAACATGTCCAAAAAAAAAAAAAAAAAAAAAAAAACACAATTTGAATTTTTCTTATTTTGGCAGCCCTTCAAAAAATAATCCTAATATAGTAGGTATGTTGGGCCAGTCACAATATTAAATTTTGAAGTTCAATATATTGCTGAAGTAGATACAAAAGATAAATTATAATATTTAAACCATTTATGCCACTGATACAAAACTCCAAGAGCACATTAAACCACTAAATGTACAATATTGTTAAAAAACAAACTTGAGCAGCAGCAGAATGAAACCCTTAAGTATTTAGTTTGCATCTGTAATTAGTCAAGGAAGTTATTAATTCAGTCTTTCACGGTTTAAAGTGCACTATGTTACTTTTTGGTTGGGGGTTTGTCACCTGCTTATTTCTATGGATGTCACTGCTCTTCCTGCAATGTTCCACAGTATGACATTAAACTGCTCGACCTTACATTTATTCAATTACAGGTAGTTTTATACCTAGAAAAACAGGCATTCCGACTGTGAGCAGGGTTGCCTCTCCATATATCTGACCAGTAACTTAGGCTAAATCCCAGTACACCCCTTGGCCATGCCACGTTCCCCTACCCCTCCATTTGCGCGTTCAAGTGTAGGAGTAGGGCTGTCCCAGTTACCGTTATGACAGAGGGGTAGGGGAAAGTGGTAGGGTTATACACCCCTCCAAACGAAGATTTTTCAGAGGCACACTCCAAACGGAGAAGTATGAGCAATTTTCCAGAATGCCTTGTGAATCACCGACAAGATGACTGCTACTACGACCACAGAGACCAAAGAAGTTCACAAATGTAGTGTAGTAAAATAAACGCTATATTGTCTTAAGTTTAATGTTGTTCCAATGCGTAATGGTAATTTTCTTCATAGAAAGCACACACACAAAAAACCCCACAAGTACTATGTTCAGTAGTGTAACATTATTTGTGACTTGCGTGATTGGTTGATGCACGAAACTGAAGTTGTGCATGAATTGCGAGCCCACGCAAGAGAGACCACCACAGTTGTAGACGGCAGGCGGAGACGACTGATGGCGTATTTGATTGTTAAAGGGATGTCCCAATTCGTAGGGGTTTACTTTCAACCCCTATTCCTTGTTGCTTAGTTTCAAGGGGCAAGGGGCAAAGGGTAGAAATTAGAAATGGGATTGGCCCTTAGTCTGGTCCATGAAGATAGAAAAATGTAATACCATACTGTGAAACATCCCAAACAAAGCACTAACAGGGACGGACACTCCAACAGAAAAGCAACACAATGCACCTTTAAATGATATCGTATAGCCAAACAAACCCCACAAATTTCCCAGTAATGCAAAGAAAGTGTACACATGATAAATACTGACCACCAAAATACATTGATCCTGCTTTCATATACACAACGATAAGTCCATATAATAATTATCGTGACAGGCCTAATGTATGTTGACTGTCTTACCTGAAAAAAGTGAGACAGAAGGTGATGAGGTGGTGGTGTGTGTACTGTGACTGGGAGCCACAGCACGAGGGAGGCATCACCGGAGCAGGAGGGGGGCGCTGTGGGCGACCGGGACAGAAGCAGGACGGGTCTGATCCACTACGATGACCGAGACATCTCCATGGCAACGGTGAAGCTAGAATAAAAACACAATTATAATCTGGTTATATGACACTACGAGGGCTGCAATTTGTGTCAAATGGTGTGAAATAGATTAGAGATGGACAATTATGTGGGTTATTTAAGGGCAGATGCTGATATAGATCGTTTTGAATGCAGAGTAACTGATGGTCGATAAGATCTGCTGATATTTTGGGCCATATTTCGTACCACAAACCCATCAGAGAGCAGTGTAATCACGTTTTTCGCAGTTATCTCATTCAAATAAAGCTTTATGCAAGTTCTTTATGCAGCACGTTGGAGAAAACAAAATATCGACCTTTGCTGAAAACTTAAGGCATATTGCTGATATGCTTAACAGTGCAAATATCAACCAATATATTGACGAACTGAACTGAACTGAATATTGGTCTATCCTTAAAATAGACACAAACAAACACATGATTCCAGAGGGAATGCAACTGAAGGCAACAAGTGAAGTGGAACATAATGTGATTTCAATGGGGAATTTGGGATTAACCGCAGAGCATCATAAAATAAAACCTTTTGGCAAATGAAAAAAACAACCACGTACAAAAAATCAACATCAGACCATGGTTAGAAAACATTAACGCATTGCATTTGTTTATGGAAGAACTAGTAGGGATGTGAAAAAATATCGATATATCGTATTGTTTCATGTGATGATACAGTATTAAAATCATGAGATGCTGTATTGATATATCGCCAAGAGTATTTTTATGGTATCTTTTACTAAATTATTTTATTAAAGCGCTACAGTTTTGTTGCTTGTTCAGAGGAAGGAAACTTGTTCATGCGACACATTTGACATTTTCACTGTTTTGTTGGTTAAAATGGGCGTGTTTTATATTCACTTTGCACAAGACATGGTTTAACAAAGACTTTTAGTATCACAGCCATGATTTAGAAATTATTTTTTATTGCACCATATCGAATTGATTTGAAATAAATCGTATTGACTTGAAAGCTTAATGTATCGAGATATGTATCGTATCGGCAACTTCTTAATGATACCCAGCCCTACTTTTGATGAAGGCAAAATCTTGAGTTTTAATTTTTTACTGCAAAATCTTAGAAATGTTCTTTAAGTTTTATAACATCCTTAAGCTCAGATATCATGAAGGCTTAAGAACAACATTTACATTTCCCTGTGTAAAGCAAATAAAAACATCAATATGGCACCTTATTTACTGTTCGAAATACTGAAATTCTTGGCAGTTAGCAACCCTCGAAAACAAGTTATTGTATTTAACATTTGTCAGTACATAGCTGTGTCCATTGTAGGGATGTAACGATATCCAAATCTCACAGTACGATAGCCATGTTTTCCATAGACCAAGTATCAATGTGTGGCGCTCCTCCCCCTGATCAGACGGCGACTGTAAGGCGCGCCAGTAGTTTGCTCATACAAATTATGTTAGTTTAAGACCTGTATTTTAAATTTCAAATTGAGAATTACTTACCAAAGTTGATGTTAAAGTTTAGCTTTTACCTGAACTTAAGATTCTTTGACATTCAAGAAATTAATTACAAAAAAGTTAATCTTAAGGTTTTTATTTCAGATACTTTCAAATACTTCAGAAACTCAAGACCTATAGCTCAACCAATATAATAACTTGTTCTTGTATTTAACTTTTTTTGGTAAAATAAAACAAATAGTATAATAAAACAATGATATAATAATACATATAAAGTACTATAATTAGATATAAGAAATTACTAAAGGGTCTATGGATGGGAAACACTGTATTATCATGAGCTGCATCTCACTGTATGATTGATGTTTATTACGACATTTTGGAAAAGCTGATAAAATTGTAAAAAAGGATATTTCTTGCTTTTAAAACACCTTGACAAGACTTTGGTGTGAATCATCACTGACATAATCCTCAAAATTAAAGTAAAATCATATTTCTTCATGTTGTTTATGCTGAAATGAATCGTGGGATATGTAGTTTTCTATGTTTATCAGCTGTTACTACTATAAAACCAATATTTTGGTTATTGTTACATCCCTACTTGATTATGGATTTCTTAACATTCTGATAACACTGCAGTACATTTGACTAAACAGTTAACCTCTCTTATTGATTCAAACAAACAGCAGCAGGACAGTATATGTTACCACTGATGATCTCTCATGTAATAGTTTTAATATCATGACTGCCTGATTAACCTGGGGGAGAATTTGTTGGTTTTGCCTCAGTAAAAGATCCCCTAAAATCGCACAAAGCCAGTAGTGTTCCACAGTAATTCCACAGGTAAAAGCCTGAATGACTGGTTTTCTTCAGCTATTCTCATCAATGGGGCCTCTGTACCCAGCACCCCAGTCTCCTCCAGGACAGAATTTGAGTGCACAGCTTGGATAATTTATAATGTAATAATTACATTTCTTGCCATAGTGTTAAACAGAATAGTACACACATTATACTTTCATTACAAGTCCAGCCTGTGTACAATTATTTGCAGGTCATTCATACTTATTTACTAACCTGTGGATACTTGTATTGTTGTTGATATAATGAATTTCTTTCTAAATCTAAAAAGTATCTATCTCTCTATCTATCTCTCTATAAAAAGAAGGTGCAGTAGAATGTAAGGATTATTTTCTACTTTTTTATTTTAACTTGCACATATACATTTATATAATTATGCCTTATTTGACACCAGTCTTTTGTCATTTTTGCGGCTTATCTTGAATTTACTATTACCATGTATATTTTTGCTCTTTGTTATTACAATATATTGTGATGTGTGAGCTCCTGTGTCCAAATAAATAAAACGTGTCCCTTGTGGATCAATAAAGTTTGTCTAAATCTAAGTCATTATACTTTTTGTGGCATGATTTAGTACAGAAATATAATTAAAAACAAGAAAATGTAATAGCTTTCATTGACAATAGATTAGTAAACACATTAATAGCTAATGCGATATCATTATTGCAGAGTAAAGGGATGTGAGAAGAAATTTAAGGGACTAGAGACATGAAACTACTGGAGACCACAGTCACTCCATTGGTAAAGGTGTAATTATGTAATAATATAATGCACTATTGTGGTTAGCTCATAGAATACAAGTGCATATTACATAAGACACCCATACTAGGTTAGGATATATACTTAAACAGTGAATTGTATCGTTGTTGGTTGCATTTTGCACGTATCTGCGTTTGCACATCTCCAGTGAAACCAAGACACGCAAGCATAAGGTACAACACACAAAACCACGGTGACACATCTGACAAATCTCGCATTTTCCGTGGATGTTGTCGTCTCATCTCAAATACTCAAGTCGCTACAGTAACAAAACAAATCAATTTTAATTCTACAGATGAATCTAATAAAAATAAGGCTTACCTTTTGGTTAAACAGAGGCTGCTGGGCTCGCGCTCCGGGTGGTGTTTACTGTGCGCTCCTCTGTCTGTTTCTTCGTCCACGTGACCCGCGCGTCTCTGACTCTCTGCTGCCCCCACAGGACAGGAGTGGACACACGGAACAGTTAGACACACTCAAGTGCCACCCTGGATTATGTTTCAAAACAGAAATATTGTGTAAGTATGTTCGCTCGTATTTTGCTGCTAATTTTTTTTCTCTCTTTTTACCTATGGGCACATTGACCACCATCCTTCTCCTGCTCCCTTATAAGGAACTAATAAATGTAGGGTGACCAGGTGTCCCATATTTACCAGGGACAGTCCCAGTTTTGAGCCTCATGTCCCCTGTCCCAGCAGATTTAGCCAAAACCAGTGATTTGTCCCAGTATCATACAATAAATGTCCCAGGTGTCCCTATTTTTGACCAATTTGATCTAAACTAGGACAAAACTAAGACTAAACCAGGACTGCGTCAGGTCTAAACCAGGACTAAAACAGGAGATCCACAATTTTTGACTAATCTGATCCCTGCCAACAGTAAAGGGAAGTTTAATTTGTAATTTTTTTTAGCCAAAATACAGAAAATCGTGTTTGCCAATTACAATAAATAAATAAATAAAATAAAATAAAATATGACTGACATGAGAATACACAATGTTACACTTATTTATTTATTTTTTTTAACAAATGTATTTATACCAACCATCCCAACTCGACTGTGTCCCAGTTAAGTAGACATATTTTCTGGTAAATAAAAGGGTCATTGGAATAGTACTCATGATAAAATAAGCTATAGAAGCAATTAACCTGTCATTCTTTTATTAAAATGCACACAATCTAATTTGTACATCTTTTTTATAAGAACTTTTGGAGACCTCCACGTTGGAAATGGAAATGGCAGTTGTGATGAACAATAAACCATAAAGTGTAGCTTTGCAGTTCAGGAAAAAGCAGTCTTGTTTAGTGAGATGAACCAAAACATATCAAAAAGACGCCATCTGGAGGATCTGAACAGGCATTACATGTACACGCTTACTGTGGCGTATCCCTAAACATGAAAACAAGCGGGTACTTCAACCTGTTACTGGACCAGTAGTAATAGCTCCATTTTAACGCAAAGAATATCTGGCAACTGATTAAGGCTACAGCAGCACACGGTAGGTCGTTTCTATTAAGTGAAAAGTTAAGGTAAATCCCATTGAAGTCATGGCTGCAGGTACTTTATTTCAGAAAACTACACAGAACTTGGATTCACTGGTAAGTCGCTCGTAAACTATTCATCCATACAACATTTGTTAGTGGTAGCTTATAACTAGAGTGACCAGACGTCCCTATTTACCCAGAACAGCCCCAGGTTTGAGCCCTGTGTCCCCTGTCCCAGCATATTCATCCAAAACCACAGATTTGTCCCAGTTGTCCCTATTTTTGATCAATGTGATCCCTGCCAACAGTAAAGAGAGACATAAATTGTAATTTGTTTAGGTAAAATACAGAAAAGCTGCTTAAAAATCACCAAAACACAAAGAAAATGTGACTATGCTGCTATCATGGGCAGAACAATTTTCCTTAATTATGCACTAATTTCACAATTTTATTACCAACCAACCCAAACCAGGGATGTCCCAGTTTTTTATTTTGAAAATCTGAGCACCCTACCTGTATCAAATAGGTAAAAAAAAAGAAGAATGAATTAATTAATCAATAAGCAACTAGTTTAATGTCAGGAAATGCAGTTAGGTGTTTGCAGATAAACAATTCTACATTAAAGGTCCTATATCATGTAAAATTGACTCTTGGGAGCTTTAAGACATATTATGCTACCTCATCAAAAACATACCTGGAGTTGTGTTTTGTTTCATTCACACATGTTTGAGTAATCCAGCATTATTAGTCTGTCTACATCTCCAGAGCTCAAAATGCTCTGTGCCACCTTGTGATGTCATGAAGCGGTTGTTTTCAAATTAACATTTCCTTTTACCTCAGTAGAGATTGGCAATTTCAGGTCTGAAATCATCCAAATTATTCTAGTGAAGGTGTGTGGAGTTTAAAAACACGGGGACAGTGCTTCCTGTATTATCACGTGACATCACAAGTTGGAACAGAGAGAGAAGAACTCAGCCTAAATATGCAGGGTTTGTGTGAATGAAACAATAAATCAGAAAATAGCGTAATATGGGCCCTTTAAGCCAAGTACCAAATCAAATGCATTCAAATCCATGCCAAAACAGTGAGTGATTTTATTATATTTCTACATTTTCCAGAAGCAATTAAACACTTTTGTAGAGATGGTGTGAGATGCACAGCTGCACTTTGTAAACAGCTGCTGATCTTGTGGAAAAAGTGTAAAATTAGACAGGAAATAATCTGATGACCTTTGACTCTCAATTTCATTCATTATTTGTCCAGAAGAGAGAGAGAGACACACACACACACACACACACGGAGAGAGAGACACAGAGAGAACCAGAGGAAATGAGCGACCGAGGGACACAGATGCATTTTGGGATGGAGTTTGAAGTGTGCAGTTGACAAGGGGAAGAAAAGTTTTGGTCTGTCTTCTAATTAGATCATTCTTCGTGATGGAAACTGGATTAACAAAAGCCATGGGAACAAGCAATAAGGTAAGACAGTATATCAGCAGTGTTAAACTTATTACTGTGTTCCAAAAGATAAGGCTAAAATATTCAGATACCGCAAGACTGAAGAACACTCTTTCTTTAGAAACAGAATGTGAGTTTCCACATTAAATCGTAGTACTTTCTTTCATATTACCATGTGGTCTTATATCTGTGTACTCCGTCAGTGGTCCAGGTAGTTTCCAGAGTGGTCCATGGGCGTATACTTACTCCGATACAGCTCAAAATCATTCTAAAGCTATTCAGAAAAGATTTGTTTCTGTTCTGTGAATGTGACTTTTGCATTATCAGTACTTGTTCAAATTAGTATCTAGTTTTTGTGTCGATTAGTGTTTGATTTTTGATACTTCTGACACCCCTAAAACCATCCCCCAGTTGATTATTGCGATCTGAAAATGTAGTTGGCACAATTTAATTCAAATTTGACTGGTCCTAAAATAAAATATGCGGCATGTATGTTAGGTATTTGAAAAATTGTAAATAGAAAACACACACAAATGTTTGATCGAGAAAGAAAAGACTTTTTGTGGCATCTTAAAAGTCACATTTGTAGATATCTAATGACACTCGCCTACAATATATATAGTCGTTTCCGTGTAGATAAAGTTTGAATAGCTTAATAATAACCAGACTTACATACTTCAGAGGACAATGACCCCAAATCAGGGCTCCAGATACGACCTATCCATATGGGAAATGAACTGATGATGGGACATTCTCACAGTCACAGCTCTTTTCAACTGTGCTCAGATAGACATTTTTAACATAACTGTAATATATAAGCTATTATTTTATTTATAGTTTAATCTGGCCGATGTACATTATGTACATCGTAAATGTACCATAAGTATCTTAAATTGTTATTTTTTGACCAATTTGTTCAAATCTATATAATGTTTCTGGTGGGTCTGACACCTGCTCATTTGTATGGAAGAAAGAGATTATTTTCCCACAAATACTCCACTGAATTAACTCTTACAGTGAGGGGGTAGCCTCTCCACAGATCTTACCTGTGACTTAATCTTGTGGTACTGTCTCTATGAAACTATCTAATGTCATACTGAATATGGAATAACACTGTTAGGAAAAATAGGGAAAAAAATAGCATCTCCATGGAGGCAAGCAGGTGGCGGACTTATATAATGCACCTTTAAATGTTTTATTGTTATTATTTATTTTAAACAGCACGCACATTTTGTTCTCTTATAGAAAAACAATCGTGACAAATGGACAAATGGACAAAGCTCAAAAAGGATCTGTCAGCAGGTGAGTTTGATTATATCTGGCACTAAAATAACCCTGAGAAAAGCATTTAATGTTACATTTTTTCCCCAGTACATATTTAATAAAAAGGTCAAAGGTTGGAGATACAGTTTCCTCTGCTGTATTTATTTACTGCAACAAAACAGTTGAAATGGGCAGTGGGCCAGGCCTGTGTTTACAGTGTTATGTGAAGATGATGCTCTGTCAGAGGCCTGTCACTGACTCCAGGACATTTTCCCAAAGACCTCAGATACACTGAAATACACAGAAATACACTAAAATACACAGGAAATACACTCAAATACACTCAAATACTGTTAGCAAGGTCCCTCTACACAGCGTTTATCGTGACCATTAAAACACAGTTCACAGTATATTCTCTTTTTGTGTGATCACCGCATTCACGTGATCGAAAATTCTCACACTCTATTGGGCATCAAGAATACAAATCATAAGGCTCTATATACCTTATACAAATAATAACAAAACAACTCAACAAATACACTCACGTACACCCAGTGACGACAATGAGAATATGTGTGAATATATCAATTAATCATTGCATTTATATTTATATTTATATAGCGCTTTTCAAGATACCCAAAGTGCTTTACAATTCATTATTCATTCATTGTCCAGTGATGAGTAACATGTAAGTTCACCTGGTCCAATCTACACTACAGAAGTTTTATTATTTCACCAAGTCAACTTTCATTCTGTATTATGGGACATTTGTGAAAAATCCCTCAGTCGTCCGGGTAGAATCCACGGCAAAGGAGAAATTCAATTTGTCAACTGGACAAAGTTTATTTAGTCAAATACATTTCACAGCTCATCCAAGCTGCTTCTTCAGTTGTGGTCAGATGCTGGTGGACACTTCCTTATATCTGTCTGCAGGGAGGAACTAATTACAATGAAACTACTCTGAAACTAACACCCATACTTGTTTACAGTTAGTTAGTTAGGCCTATTGAAATGCAAGTGTGTGGGATCATATTATCATAATGATTCAGGGCTATAATGGAGCTTTCACGCCTCTGGACCTGACCTGTTTACAGCTATTGTTTTCTTGTTTGTTTTGATTTAGGTTTGAGGATGGAGTTGTAAATAGGAGACAGATGATATCTGAGTCCCCCTGCGAAACTTATTCGACCAAATAAACTTTGTCCAGTTAACAAATTGAATTTCTCCTTTGTTATTATGGGACATTGTTTATTAAAGGTCCTATATTATGTAAAATTAACTCTTGTAATGTTGTTACCTCACCAAACCAGACCTGGAGTTGTGTTTTACCTCATTCACACATGTCTGAGTAAATCTTTATTATTAGTCTGTCCACATTTCCAAAGCTCCACTTTGCGAAGTCATGAAGCGGTAGTTTTCAAGTTAACAGCTACCTTTAGTTTAGTAGAGACTGGAAATGTTCAGGCTGAAATTATCCAAATTATTCCAGTGAAGGTGTTTAAACCCTAACCCAAACCCTGGTGTTTAAAAGCACAGTGGAGCACTTCCTCACAAGGTGGAGTGTTTTCTGTTTGAGAGAAGAACTCAGCCTAAATATGCAGCTTTTGTGTGTTATACATGTGTGAATGAAACAAAACACAACTCCAGGTCTGTTTGTGATAAGGATACAACATTACATTATAACATAAATCAGAAAATAGCCTAATATGGGCCATTTTTATATTACAGATTTGGTTTTAAACAATACTGACATTCAATATCACATCACATTTTACTTTTGTACTATAGTAGTAGTAGTTTTGTACTTAGCTTTATTTATTGAAAATGCAAAAACAAGATAAATTTTTATATGTCTTACATGAAATCAGTGTCTTGCCTTATCATTTTCTCAATAATATTATCTTTTTTTTTCTTTCTTTCAGGTCAAAGCAGGTGTTCACAAGTGAGACTGATTCCATTGTCCTTTCTTCCAAATCAGCACTGAAGTCTTTTTTACCCACAAACCAGCAGGGACACATGCTCAATATGTCTTACCGAAGAACTACTTTCGATACGCAGGGAAAAGAAAATGGAATCATGACAGGAAGTAAGCTCCCAAGATCCAACGCCGTCAACATTAAGGACAAAATATCACTTTGGGAAGGGAAGGAGTCAACCAGCTCAAATTCTAGTGTAACAAGGAGTTACACTACAACAAGTTCATTAACCAAAAATGGTAATGTGGAAACAGCTCACAGCTCGAATACTCATTTGAATGGAAAAGACACAGAAAATGTAGGAACAGATATAAAACCTGTGTCACCTAAGGATTCAAAAACAGAAGACAAAACAAAATCTACTGGAAAAAATGTAAATACTAAAATTGAAAATCAAAAGAATGGATTAACAGACAGTCATGGTGAGAAGGAAAATGTTCAAGTTGAGAATTTAAGATCAGATTCTCCTGTTATGGTTGAGAAATTACAAAGTGAAAGTCTTAAACGAAGTAAGGAGCCTGTAAGCCAAGAACGCAAAGCAGTTTTTAGTCTTTTTAAGAAGCTAGAAGCAATGGAGGATCGCCAGAACAAACCTACAACTGAACTTGGGAACTATTTCAGCGCTCAAACGAAAAGAAAACAGGACGAGTTGAAGAAAAAGGACTTTACTGGACAAAAGACTAATACAATACAATCTGAAGAGGGTGTTTATAACGCTCCAGGATCTCCCCCTATTAACCCAGTGCCCAAACCCAGGCGAACCTTCCAGCACCCGCCCCACAGCGGGACTCTCCCCAGAGGACTCAGACACCTGCCGCCCTTGCCATCCCAGAATTTACCTGTCTCCTCGAAACCACCGACAGGGGTATATCGGACCAGGGCAAATGGAAGGTAAGACAGGTTTTGAAATGATGTGTTTTCTGTATTATATGTAGTTCATAAAGTGTTAAAGGCTCCATATTATGCTATTTTCTAATCTGTGTTATAACGTTGTTTCCTCATCACAAACATACCTGGAGTTTTGTTTTGTTTCATTCACACATGTTAAATACAAAAATCCTGAACATTTAGGCTGTGTTCTTCTCTCAGATAGAAAACACTCTCTATAATTGGGCTTAACCAGGAATAAACCAGAACTAAAAGAACACTAAAGCAGGTCTATACTAGATCTAAACCAGAACAAAACCAGGACTAAACCAGATTCAAACCAGATCTAAACCAGGGCTACCTCAGGACTCTGGGCCAGTACTAAACATGGACAACAGCAAGTCTAAAGCGAGACCAAACTATTATACTGGGGCTACAACAGACCAAAACCAGGACTGAATCAAAACCAAAACCGCTAATTGTACCAGTAAATCAGGATTAACTTACTTTTTAATTCAAACCCATTTTAATAAAGGCTTTTTAAGCTTTGTTCTTTTGCAGTCACACACGCAACTGAAAGGGCCCATAGTGCTCTATTTTCTGATCTATGTCATAATGTTGTTTCCTCATCACAAACAGACTTGGGGTTGTGTTTTGTTTTATTCACACATGTTTGACACACAAACCCTGCTTACTTAGGCTGAGTTCTTCTCTCAAACAGAAAACACTTTGTTCCACCTTGTGTCATGTGGTAATACAGGAAGTACTCCACTGTGTTTTTAAATTCAATACACCTTCACTAGAATCATTTGGGTATTTTCTGCCCTGAAATTGCCATTCTCTAGTTAAAAGGTAAGTGATAACTTGAAAACAAACCCTCCATGACATCACAAGGTGGAACAGGGCATTCTGAGTTTTGGACATGCTCAGAATAGCGTATTTTTTGGACTATTAGATGCACTTAAAATCCTTTATTTTTCTCAAAAATCGACAGTGCGCTTTATAATCTGGAGTGCCTTATGTATTAATTCTGCTTGTGCTTACTGACCTCGAACCAATGTTATGTGGTCCACGGTGCTCAAAAATCTGTCAAAATGATTTAGTACGACTTTGGTAAGCTACGAAGCTGCACCACTTGATGGATTGTCTGAGCATTACGGCTACCTTAGTCTGGAGTTTCGTGGAGTAAGCGAGTCGTGTCCTTTAGCGCATCAGCGCACAAGGAGTGAGCTGTTTTTTCAGCGCTTATAGTTTATGCAAATTAGCCATGTGATTTTAAGTTCAGTTTCTGTAAATCTTAAACAAATGTGCGCAAAGCTGCATTAAACACATTATTACTCAATCTATATTTGAGTCCTCCTCATAGGAAAAAAAAAAAAAAAAAAATTATCCACCCACATTTATATTCATAATACAAATTCACCAAGACAGGGACGCAATGCCGGGCGAATTATACCACAATCTGCCAGTGGATCATGGATGACTGGGCTAAGGGATCAGTCTCAAGTGTCATCCGTTTGTTTCGCTTAATGCGCCTCATGATCCGGGGTGCCTTATAGTCCGAAAAACATGGTAATAAATGGTTACTCAAAATCTGTGAATGAAGCAAGACATGTTTTTGATGTTGTAACAGCATTATAACGTGACTTAAAGCTCACAGAGTCAATTTTGTGTAGCATTGAACCTTTAAATAGAAAGACATGTGCGCTCAAATAAATACATTTTAGCCCACAAATTGTGCAAAAAAACTCTCTTCAGCTTTTAGAGAAAATAACATCTCTATCGCTATATCATCCAAGTTTCACATTCTTATCAAGCATTTATTTCATTTTAGGTGTTATAGCCGGCAACCTGTTTGTCTCCATCAAGATTGATACCAGTAAAATCTTTATGTAGACAAGCAAATGCCCCACCCTCTATTCAAAAAGTTACACCTCTTCAGATGCAATAAAAATCGAGCTTTATTTCAAGTTTGCTTCACCTGTGTCAAATTTCAGGCCTTCTTTGTAAACTGTAACATTCTGTGCTCATAAATAGTTGTGTGTGGCCCGTACAGGAAGTCATTTGAACTGGAGGACACTCTGGGATCTACGAAGTCTCCGTTCTGTCGGTCATTGTCTCAGGAGCACCACTATGAAGATATATTAGGTCAGTACACTATAGTGCATTCTTGTTTTTTCTATAAATGTAACTGTGGTTTGCATTCTCTTTAACAGCAAATAGCCTACTAACTGAAACATTTTAGTGAATTAATTGTATCATAAGTGTGGTTTATTAAAGGTAACAACTATGTTTCTCTTTCTACAGACAAAGAAAACCCATATGAGGACATAGAGCTGGAGAGTTCATGCTCCCAACAGTCACTGCCTTCTTCTCCTGGATCGGACAATCACAAGGTCAAGTGTTATTAACATAACAGACATACCACACTCTGGAATATGGTTAAATTGGTTAAAGGTGCATTGAGCAAATTTTCTGGGACTTTTCACCTGCTTGTCTTCATGGAGATGTTATTACTTAGTCTAGAAGCTTCCACGGTAGAGATTAAACCAATTAAACCTCAAGGGAGACAACTATAGACAACATTACAGGTCAGATCTGTGGCGAGGCAACCCTGTTCACGGAGAGGATTATAGAATTTTGAGCAATAGAAAAACTCGTCATGTGCTTGTCAAGTGCTAGATAGATGTATTTAATGTCGTACCATGGAACATTCCAGGTAAAGCAATAATGGAGACAAGCAGATGATGGACACTCCTCCACAAAAGTTGCGCAATACACCTTTAAATGAAAAATCTATGTTGGATTATGCAGGTAGGATTCATTACAAAGGAGAAAGTCAAATCTGTCGCATCTAATCCAAACTGCTTCTTCAGTTCTGAAGAGAAAGATGAGAGAAGAAAGATGAGAGAGAAGAGAGATGGGAGCTGAGAGAAGAGAAAGAAGAGATATGAGACAGAAGAGAGATGGGGCAAGAGAGAGAGAGAGATGAGAGAAGAGAAGAGAGATGAGAGAAGAGAGAGAGAGAGAAGAGAGAGAGAGAGAGAAGAGAGAGAAGCGAGATAAGAGAAGAAAGATGAGAGAAAAGAGAGATGAGTGAAGAGAGATGAGAGAGAAGAGAGATGAGAGAAGAGAGATGAGAGAGAGATGAGTGAAAAGAGAGAGAGATGAAGAGAGAAAGAGAGATGAGAAAGAGAGATGAGAGAGAAGAGAGAGAGATGAGATGAAGAGAGATGAGAAGAGAGTGCAGAGAGATGAGAGAAGAGAGATAAGCAAAGAGAGAAGAGAGAGAGAGAGATGAGAGAAAAGAGAGATGAGAAACGAGAGATGAGAGAAGAGAGAAATGAGAGGATAGAGAAGAACAGAAGAGAGATGAGAAACGAGAGATGAGAAAAGAGAGAGATAAGAGAGAAGAGAGATGAGAGAAAAGAGAGATGAGAAACGAGAGATGAGAGACAAGAGAGATGAGAAAAGAGAGAGAAGAGAGATGAGCTGCGAAACGTATTTGATCAAAACCTTTTTTCCATCTGACAGAATTGAATTTCTCTTTTGCAACTTATCTATCTTGTATTCATTCAATTACAAACATGCATTCTTATACTGTGAGCGGGACCGCCTCTCCACAGCACTGACCTGTATCTGGGCCCACATAGACACAATTAATGCCATACTGAGGAACATCCTGACAAAGCAATGTGGCTCCCTCCATCAGAAAAGTTACATTTTGCACCTTGAATTTCATTTTTGCATCCAGTGAGCGTAACAGAACTAATAAATGTCTGATTTTTCCTTTAGGTGTTGAGACCTGGTTTCTTCAGACAGAACTCTGGCCGTAGTTTTAAGTTACTCGATTTACGTAAAGCTCAACAGTCTGTGAGCAGCAGCAGCAGCACCAGCACCAGAGTGTCCTCCCCTCCTCACCTCAGCCCCCCCTCCACCCCCAGGACCCCCGACAGAAACTCATGGTCCAGCAGTGAAGCCTCCAGTCGTACCTGCCAGAGGATACCCACAGTGAGTGACAAACGGGCCTCAGTCTGTAGTTACTGTCAATTTACAAAAAATTTGATTGATTAATTTTGGAAGAGCTTAATATTTATTGTGTGTGACCTTTTCTTGGACTATTGGGGGCCTTTTTTATACTTTATGTAGTACCTTAAGCAGTAGAGATTTTAATAATTAATCTATCACTCATTATAGGTACTTATTAACTACTCTCTTTGTGCCTTATCTTTATCTATTGTCACTTATGTTTTATTATATGCCGTTCAATTCATTTGGAAAAGTGTTTACTGGGATTATTCTTCTTTAGGGTTACAGTATCAGAGACAAAAATGAGGTCTTCAGTATTTTCTTTAATTGTGAAGTCAAAATGTGTGTTTGTCTGCTGTAAACATGTTCATGTATTATTGTCAGGTTGTGCTGAGGATCAACAGTATCTTTGAGGCTCGGATTGGGAAAAAGCACTTAAGAAGGATTTACCATTACGCTGAGAGCAGCTCGGGCAGAGGTAGGCTCCACTCCAGTGTTGTTGTATTATTGGTATTGAAATTAATTCATTTTGATAACATCCAAATATATAGAGGCGGTTTTGAGTTTGATTGTCATTGAAATTGAAGTAACATGGAGAATAATTGACCATTTATCAGGTCTAAGACAAGTTTCATTTATTTTGGTTCTATAAAAAATTTATTATATTAGTACTCAACTAACCTACTTTTTCACTTAGTACACAGACAAACAACTACAATTAAACAACTAAAGTAATGTCCTTTGTTTAAGTATTTTCCCTTGTGGATCAATAAAGTTTGTCTAAGTCCAAGTCTATTCCAAGATATTTGTGTTCATGATTAGGTCAGACTGAAAACCCCTTAAGAGAGAATTTTACAACAAAATTGTATTTTTCTTCAAAATTAAAAAACATGTACATTTTTGTAAAACTTTGGGGAGCAGGAGTGCAACTTGGATATACAGAAATTGCAGAATTGTCCTTTCGGTGCTCTTCAGTGTAGGGACCAATCTCAAATACAAAGTTGAAAAAACCGAGGCACTCAAAAAGTGCAAAATAATTAAAAGGCTTTAATACCACATGGCAGATAAAGTTAAAATCACGCCAACACGATTCAGCCCTTCAACCTTCATCAGGGCCAAACTGACATGTACAAAACTTGTACATCTTTGTTTTAGAGTCAGTTCAAAGTTTATAATGTTCATTTTAATTGTCCAGGTACATTAATAATGCCATCTGAAGATAGTAATTAAAATAAAAAATAAAAAACTGAAATCTACTTTAAATAAGATCAACAGTTACTGAAATAGCTGACAATAATTCTGTAAAGTCTTGGTTAATTTAATAGTTATGGAGGCCCTGATGTTTGTTAATATGTGTTTTTGCAGTTACAGATGACAGTACCTCAGAGAGTGAATTTGAAGAAAGAGGCAAAGGTATAAAGCTTAATCTGACTGTTCAAAAGTACATTTAAAGTCCATAATTTAACTGCAGTGTTTTTATCTTCCAGCTCAACGTCAGCGTCTTGTGTCGGCAAAGTCCATCCTGAGCCGTCCAAACCAGACCCGGTCCAGACTCAGTCCCGGCCTCAGGAGCGGCCCAGCAGGACAAAACCAGAGGAGACTGTTTGAATGTTTCGTGGTGGTTTCTCTGCAAAAGTCTAAGTCCAGTGGTCTGTATCAGCCTGAGGTCACACAGCAGTTTCCCCCAAAGGTTTGTGAGGAATTTAAAATGCATATGACAGATTAAAGTACTGTTTTCAATAAAATATAATAACATTATTATCCTGATAAAAAGGCTGCTTAGTATTTTGTTATTTGTTTATAATTTTACTTCCTGGTTGGACAGCAAAAATGTTTTATTTATTTTATTTATTTACATAGTCTAACATCATCAGACTTGAGTCACTATTTTTAGGACTTGAGACTTGACTGATAAAATGGACTAAGACTTGGGACTCAAATTGGACTTGAAGGTCAGTGACTTGGGACTTGACTTGGACTTGAGGCCCATGACTGAAGAAGACTTGAGAAGCACTTTTAAATCTGAATTCTTTCTATTCTGACCGTAATGATTCACACTAAGATCTTGTGAAAACATTTAAAAAGGAAATTTACATTTCTACAACTCTTATATACTTTATAAATACTCATATATAAATATATACTCAGATTTTTTAAAGTACAATTTAGTTTAAAATTCATATAAATTGCAAAAGCCTAAGCTATATTTGGTATTTTTGGTTTAAAGACTTGAAATGGCTTGAAGCTCAAAGCAGTCCACTTGGACTTGACTTGGACTTATGGGCCAGTAACTCGAGACTCGACTTGGACTTGCCTGTATTTGACTTGGGACTTGACTCGGACTTAAGTTCAAAGACTTGAGACTTACTTGAGACTTGCGAAACAACAACTTGGTCCCACCTTTGCAATCAACCAGAATGTTAACGAGGGCCAAAACTTGTTTACATTTCACAATAGTTAAGATTAGATTACTATAAATAAATATCTACGTCTTTATTTTGTTGACTCGTTATAAATAAATTGCACCTGCATTTTGGTTTGACTTTTTCATGGCATAGAGGTGTGTGTATAAATTTTAATGTCTTGTGTTGCAGCTGGAGCAAAGTTTCAAACTCATAAAAGAGACAGAGAACCAGCTTCGGAGCATCCCTCTCTTCTGTTTCCCTGACGCCAAAGACTGGGAGCCCGTGGACCATTACCCAAGGTGTATTGAGTTTGATATTAGCTAAAAATATCTCAAAATATCACTAAATCACATTTTAAGAATACATACATACATTCAGCAGATAGATGAAGTTTTTAAACCCCATACATCTTCACTAGAATCATTTGGATGATTTCTACACTGGAATTGCCTATTACTACTAAACTATATGTGAAAGGTAGCTGTTAACTTAACTTAACTACCACTTCATGACATCATAAGGTGGAACAGAGCATTTGAGCTTTGGAGATCTAAAGACGTATAATAAAAGATTACTCAAATATGTGTGAATGAAACAAAACACAACTCCAGGTCTGTTTTTGTTGAGATAACAATTTTGCATAGTGTAGGACCTTTAATTACTATAACAACAGTCACTCTATAAGGTATTGTTATTGTTGTTAATTTTCCATGTTTTTTCTCGGTCAGCGAAATGTTCTCCTTTGTTTTGACTGGAATTGACGGGAGCAGGAGGTTCGGATACTGCCGCAGATTACTGGTAAATACAATGTAATAATAATAATACAAAAATACTAACAGCATAACTCCACAGCCTCTGAACAGGAAGTGACTGAAAACCATGACGACGGCTGTGTAAACAATCGTGCCAAAACAGTCTGAGGCCTGTGGGAAAACCGTGCATCTTAAACTAGAGGAAGTGTGTGTGTCTGGGAAACTATGTCTGATCCATGTGTGTGTGTGCAGATGCCAGGAACCACTGTTTTTTTTACTATATAAGATAAACTTGAGGATCCGAATGTTTATGAACTGAAGAAGGGCATTAACCTCAAGATGGTGGTTCAATCCTAGCTCTGACCAGTTCCGCTATTGTGTTCTTGGGCAAGACACTTCACCCCTTGCCTATATATAGTTTGAATGTGGTGTGAGAGTGAATTATTGCTGCTAGTCTTGGCAGTCTTGCTTATGTCAATCTAACCTAGGGCAGTTACACAACTATCTTACTACCACCAAGTATGACAAACTAATGTATAATTTGCCTTCATATATCAATCAACCAATCAAACTTTATTTATAGAGCGCTTTTCATACAAAAATGCAACACAAAGCGCTTTACAGTGATTAAAAACAAACCCACATTTCATTCCCCCCTCCCACAAAGTAAAGATAAACAGTTTGGTCTTGAGATTACTATCTGTGACATAATTATCTTTTTTTTTTTTTGCTGCTAGTAACTATCTGGAATCTGACATAGCCGTCTTTTTTTTTTTTACAACTAACTATCTGGAATCTGGAAACTTATACAAACTGTCTGGAATCTGGGACACTAACTATCTGGAACCAGTACAGACATAATCGACAAGACGAGCAACCGGGAGGAGAGGGAAGTGGAGTCGACCCCAAAATATAGACAGGCAGCCTCTAGATCCTGCAGCCAGGGGGCGCTGGATACAACAGACCCACCCGCCAATATAAAATAAAAATAAATTGTTGATAAATAATGTGCTGGTTAAATTTTGTACAGTTTTAATCAGACTTTTTTTTCCTCTGTTTTTGTAGCCCACTGGAAAAGGCAAACGTCTTCCAGAGGTCTACTGTATTATTAGTCATCTGGGCTGCTTTAACCTCTTTTCAAAGGTAAAGATTTTATCATATCTTCTGTATATTTATTAAAATAACTCTTCTTGATTTGAATAGCACAAAACGGCTCTAAAAATTAAATCATACTGAAACTAAACCCAACAGTCTCCTATTTAGATTATGATATAGACTAAAAAGTGTTTTAATGTGCACTACCAGTGAAACGTTTGGACACACATATAGAATTAGGGTAACACTTTAGATTAGGAACCACATATTAATAGCTAGTTAATAGTAAAATGCATAATAAGTGCTTAATTACATCTTTGTTAGTATTTATAAAGTACTTTCAATGCATTTTTGTCTAAGGCCATATGTTGCAAGTGCTAACCATGAGCTATTTTCTTCCCTTTAAAGAAGTGGAGATCACAATAGATGTTTTTGTGCTTGAAATGCATTGAAATCTTAATAAGCATTGATAAGTGTTTGATTAATACCAACTAATAGCTAAGTAACAGCTAATTAACACACCAATTACCACATAGATAACTATTAATATCTGGTCCCTAACTTAAAGTGTTAATGGAATTATGTAGCAAAGAAAAAGTTTTATAAAATATGTCGAAACATGTTTAGTATGGTTATTTAACTTTTTTCTTAGCTACATAATTTCATGTATCTCTTTTCATGTGTTTGATGTTTTCCGTATGTGTCAAAAATGTAGAAAGTAGTAGAAATAACAAACAAAAAGCAATGAATGAGAGGGTGTGTCCAAATGTTTGACTGGCAGTGTGTATCTGTTTAACTGTCTGTGATCTCTGTGTGTGTGTTTAGGTGCTGGACGAGGTGGAGAGGAGGAGGGCCCTGTCTCCGGCTCTGGTGCAGCCCTTTATGAGAGCCATCATGGAGGCCCAGTTTCCTGCTCCAGGGAAAACCATCACCATCAGGACCTTCCTCCCGGGCTCCGGTACAGAGGTACTCTATTTATATACATTCATTCTGTTTTTTAATCATGTTTTTAACCTATGTCAGGTTGTCTGTGTGCACTTTTAGCTTTGTCGGGAGCTCTATTTGCCAGAGATTGCAGACAGGCCAGAGCTTTGTTTGGTAAAACCTCAAATAATCAAGTGCAAAATGGGTACAGCTGTAAAACACACTCAAATAGCTGTTAATTCGAATGAAATAAATGCGTGTTGGGCCCAGGTTTCCAAGTTTCAAGTAATAAATAATGCACTTTACATTAATAAACCATACTAATTATAAGTAATTAGGCCACAGGAAAAAGAAACAACAACATCTGTGCACAAACATACCCCTGTAGTCTTTATTTATTTTGCAATCATCTGAAAAAGTACACATTTCTTCAGATGAAACCTGCACCTGGTCTATACTTGTAATTAAGACACTGATGTGAAATATACAGGTGGTGTTTATTGAATGATTTCTGCTTCATAGATCATCCGTCCCATGTGTTGTTTGTAGGTGATGGAGCTGTGCCGTCCCTCTGACTCTCGTCTGGAGCACGTGGACTTCGAGTGTCTGTTTTCGTCTCTGAGTCTGAGGCAGCTCCTTGGGGTCTTCAGCTCTTTACTGTTGGAGAGACGGGTCATCTTCACCGCAGACAAGCTCAGGTTCACTGCGATAAGTCTGGTTTAACTTTAGGTTGAGTTCATGTGACATTTTAAACTGTGAGTTCTTAGTTTAACTCTGAAAATTCACTACAGTAGTCTGGTTTAACAAAATTGTGACATCTGAATTTTCTAAAATGCCTTTAAATTCACTGAGGGAGAGTCAGAATTCTACAGCAAAATTTTCTGTCAAAATGCAGAAGTGCAAGTAATTTGTCTTTGTTTATGGTTCATATTTTTAATGTATAATATATTTAATGTAAGACAAGGCAGGATTATTTAAACATGCATGAATCAATCAAAATAAAACTAATACAGTAGGTAACACAAAGATAGATAGATAGATAGATAGATAGAGAGAGAGAGAGAGAGAGAGAGAGAGAGAGAGAGAGAGAGAGAGAGAGAGAGAGAGAGAAAGAAATAGATATATTTAGATAGATAGAGAAAGGGGCAGAGAGGGAAAAAGACAGATAGCTAGAGAGAGAGTGAGAGAGAGAAAAGAAAGAGAAACAGACATTTAGATAGATATTTAGATAGATAAAGATAGAGAGAGGGAGAGGGAGAGAGAGAGAGAAAGAAAGATATATATAGATATTTAGATAGACAGAGAAAGGGGCAGAGGGAAAAAGATAGATGATAGCTAGAGAGAGAGAAATAAATGAATAGATAGATAGATAGATAGATAGATAAGAGGCAGAGGGAAAAAGACAGATAGATAGACAGATAGCAGATAGAGAGAGGGAGCGAGAGAGAGGTGAGAAAGAAAGATAAATAGATATTTAGAGAGATAGAGAAAGAGGCAGAGGGAAAAGATATAGATAGATAGAGAGAGAGAGAGAGAGAGAGAGAGAGAGAGGGAGAGAGGGAGAAAGAAAGAGATAGATAGGGGGATAGAGAACTAGAGAGGTAGAGAGAGAGAGAGCAAGAGAAAGAAAAGAAAGAGACAGACAGATATTTAGATAGATAGAGAAAGGGGCAGAGAGGAAAAAGACAGATAGATAGCTAAAGAGAGAGTGAGAGAGAAAGAAAGAAAAAGATAAATAGATATTTAGAGAGACAGAAAGAGACAGAGGGAAAAAGATAGACAGATAGCTAGAGAGAGAGAGAGAGAGAGAAAGAAAGAGATAGATAGGGAAATAGAGAAAGAGGCAGAGAGGGAAAAAGACTGATAAATAGCTAGAGAGAGTGAGAGAGACAGAGAAAGAGATAGATAGATAGATATTTAGATAGATAGAGAAAGAAGCAGAGGGAAAACTACAGATAAATAGACAAATAGGAAGAGAGAGAGAGAGAGAAAAAGAGATAGATAAGGAGATAGAGAACTAAAGAGATTCAGAGACAGACAGACAGACAGAAAGATAGATAGATAGATAGATAGATGGAAAAAGGGGAAATTCAGGTGTCCATGTACCACATTTGTATGTTTCATCACACAATAAGACAATTAAAAGATGGACAATACATAAAGATACACAACGTCTGCAAAGTGTGTGTGCATAATGATAAACGCACACTGTTATGACATGGCTAAAATCTCACACAAGTTGTTTTTACATAATACCCTCTACCCTTTAATCCACATATTCTCCACTTCCTCATAATAAATCAAATGAACCACAGTAGCTTCAGTGTTTTTCCGTGAGCGTGCCCAGAGCAGTATTTTTAGCAGTATTTTTAGTGCGGCCCGCTGACCCCTCGTCCCCTGCTCAGTTTGTTTGTGGTGCTCTGGGAGTCAGAGGCAGAGGCTGTAGTAGAGACTGGAATGTGCAATGACGTTAACGATAAATAGTTCAACATGGAGCGCTCCTTTGCTCTGTGGGAAATTATTTTAAGGGAATATTGGGTGTGATTGAGTGTAATGAGAGAAACAGCGCCCTCTTCCGTTTCAAATGTGTGTTGATCTACGTCTGGAAATAGATCGCAGAGAGAGCATTACTTTAACTGTAAAATAAGACATCCTTTAAAATTCTGATGAACATTTTTGGTGATCTTGCTATTTTAAAGGGACAGCCCAGAATTTTGGACATAGGGCCTCATTTCCTAGTGAGCCAGAGTGTTGGAGACGTGTGAAGACACTTTTTAAATATTCCATCCAGTCCTTGTATTTCCAGAGGTCGCTGGTGCTAGGCTAGTGCATGTCAATGGGCATAGTTTTTCTGCCACTAAAACCAGTCTTACTCACTCCACAAAACACCCGAAGCAAATCAAATATTACACCAGACTGTGGATGTAAATGTCTGTGTTGATAGGATAATGTTTGAAATAAAACTAACTTTGCATCGCATGAATTGTCGCATGTTGAGGGACTGTTTTCTCAGCAGCAGCGGAATTTTACTTTGACGGTGAAATTGGTTGTAGGTGATATCAGTCCGCCGCTGCCAAGCTTTCTATCAGGGAGTACAACTCAATGCTGCTGCTCAGACCAAGCCCCCGGGGTCTAAAAATGGCCGCCCATTCAAGTCAATGGGCCGAGCTCAATGGTGCATGACTCCAGATTAGTCTTTATACCCAGAGAGGTATCTGGGCCAATTGAACAAGCTCAGTAAGTCTCCTTCCTCCTGCGGGCACACGCAAATGCACGTGAGAGCACGCATGGAGTGCGGTCTCGTGTATCACATGATCGCGGAGCTGGAGTTAATGATTATAAAGCGTTTTTTAAGACAACTAAAGGATTTTGAGCTGAGAAAAAGTTTATGATATAAAAATAGGTAAAAATCACCACAAAATCCAACATTTTTGAAAGTTCTAGGTGCCCTGTCAGCCAAACACGAGCAGTTTGTGATTACATTGCACTCTATAAGAAAAATCCTGTCTCAGCCAGAGGGATTTTTTCACTGAAGTACCAGTGAGTGACCACTACGTCAACTGGAGGCAGCTACAAGCAGCAATACCCTGTCCAGTTATTTTAATAGATCCATGGCTCAGACATAAATCCTTCAAATGCAAGGTTGGTTTTACTTCTAAAATTATTCTGTCAACACAGACATTTACATTGACAGTCTGGAGTAATAATAGATTTGCTTCGGGTGTTTTGTGGAGTGGGTAAGACTGTTTTTAGTAGCAGACTAACTCTGACCATTGACATGCACTAGCCTAGCACCAGTGACCTCTGCAAACACAAGGACAGGATGGAATATTTAAAAAAGTGTCTCCACACGTCTCCAACGCTCTGGCTCACTAGGAAATGAGGCCCTATGTCCAAAATTCTGGGCTGTCCCTTTAACTATCCTCAACCAATACACATTATTATTATTTTTTTATGAATGGCTGCTTTTACAATAAACAGTGTTTAACAAAACCTTTTCATTCTCACAATTTGAGTATTAATCTGCACAATGTAACTTTTCTGGTGAGGAAAAGTGCCTGCTACCTACTTGTGCACATGGGGAAATTATTGCTTTGCCTGGAATTGCATTTATGCCGTTACAGATGTTTTATTACTGCTTGTATCCTTACTGTGAGTGGGATCACTTCTCCACAGGTATGACCTTTAGCTTGGCCTGGCAGCATCATCTGCTTGTCTCCATGTTAATATATATATATGCTTAATGACATACTGTGGAAAAATCCAAGCAAAGCATTAACATCTCCATGAAGAAGCTACATACTCATCTAGATATTCATTAGCTTGCGGTGTAAGAGTCTTTAATTTGTTAGTATTTATGAGTTTTCACCTTTGTGTGCTTGTGTTTATGTCACCTTTAAACACATTGTATTTGTATTTCTTAGCCTTAGATTTAGACAGACTTATTTGGACACAGTAGCTCACACGCTGTATATCATAATAACATTTCTTTCTCTTCTTTCCTCAGCTCTCTCTCTCAGTGTTGTCATGCAGTTTTGGCTCTGCTGTATCCGTTTGTTTGGCAGCACACGTACATACCAGTGCTCCCCTCTGACATGTTGGACATCGTGTGCACTCCTACGCCCTTCTTTGTGGGTCTACTGTCTAGCTCCCTGCCCCACCTCACTGATCTGCCCCTAGAGGAGGTCAGCAGTAAGACATCACACTTCATTCAAACATATTTTTATGGACTATTCATAAAGTCAGGGTTAGTGAAACTTAAAAACATTATAGAATTACAGACACTATCAGTTATGTTTAAAGCAAAATACTTTCCCAGAAGACATACAAAAATGATCTGTGTTTACATCAGAGGATAAAAATCACTTCACAGATCACACTTAAACAAATGTGTGTTTCTGTTAAAGGGTAAAGCTAAAGTCTGAATAATCATTTAAAAGGATGCCAATCTATTTTAAAGTTCAAAAGAATGTATGAAACAAAATATTTTAAACAATACCAATTTGTATGCCATTCGTTTATTCGTTTGTCAAAATAAAACCAAAAATATGAAAATGAAAAAACTATTATTTTCTTCATTATTTGTCTCCAAAACCAAAATGAAAAAACAGATAACAATTTGTTTTTTCACTTTTTGATTTTGTGTTTAAATGAATAATGGAAAAAACTGATAATAGTTTTACGGTTTATTAATGGTTTTATAATGTTTCTCGTTTCTGTGATTTAAACTGCAATGCCGGACTGAACCAGGACTAAAACAGGTCTGAGTGTCGAGCCCGCGTACACTGTAGACAGACCGGCACCAGACCGGGACCAGACTGGGACCAGACCGGGACTAGAATGGGACTGAGACCACAACTGAGATGGGTTTAGTCCTGTTTTAGTCCTGGTTCAGTCCTGGGTCAGTCTGGCATCACAATTTAGTTCACGGAAACGGGAAACGGCCGTTAACCATTTTTCCATTATTTATTTAAACATAAAATTGAAAACTGAAAAAAAGAATCTTTATCTGTTTTTTATTTTGGTTTTGGAGACAAATAATGAAGAAAATAATAGTTTTTTCGTTGTCTTGTTTTTGATTATATTTAATTTTGAAAAACTAATGAACGAATTATACATGGATTAATACCAACTGGAAAGTCTGGATGATTGATAAATGTAAAATATATAGCAGTATATTAAGAATTAAGGTTCACACAGGTGAGAGTACAGGATAATGGCAATCAAATAATTTCTTCTATTATATACACCAACTTTATGTATTGTTATTCATTGCATTTTCATGAGAGGAACAAATAAAATGAAACACTGGCATGTCCTACTTTACAATATCTTGTTTTTGTGCAGGTGTTACTGGTTGATCTTGGAAGCAAGCGGTTTCTTCGACAGGTATGTGATAGGATGGAATTAGGAAAAATAGGTAGAATTTGCATTTTTTGTGATAACTTTGTAATGATGTCAGAAAAAACTGGCAATGTTTTTTTACTACACAAAACAAAAACAAAACAATGACATTATTCAGACACATAGGAACAGTTATTAGTTGCATGAACTTTAAAGAAAACACAAGATTAATATGATCAATTTATAGACCTAATCCCAGTTAAAACCTCTGTTAAAAAAATTGCAAATATGAGGATTTTCTATTTTGAAAACCGTGAAGCACACATACAGTTATATTAGCTCCTGCCCTCCATCTGAAACTACAAAGACTACCAAGACCAGCATCTTGCACAATGTTATAACGTATTATTTACTTGTTGCTTTTAGTTGGACGATGAGGACTCCATTCTCCCATGCAAACTTCAGTCAGCTTTAGAAAATGTGCTGGAAAGAAGAAGAGAACTGGCCAGTGAGAGAGGGGGACAGATATCAAATGGTACTGTTTAGTCTTCTTCACACTTTTTTGCATAATCTATTGACATAAACATGTAAAAGTATTTTATACTGATCAAAACGAACCGTAAAGCGACACTATGCACTGTATCTGTCTATTTGGTGTCCATGTCCATGTGTTTTTTTTTTCGTCAGCAGTAGTTTGCTCTTTCAAAATATAAGATTTCATGTGGAAACAGCAAAATGATCCAAATTGCAACCAGAGATGCTGTAGATGTTAAAATGGACTTCTCTCACAAGTCAATTTGGCGTAATATAGGAACTTTAAAGTAGCACGTATATATACACTAAACTTTCCAGTCTTGTATTATATTTTACTTATAGCAACATCTAATCTACTTTACTCTGATGCAAGCAAATTCATGTTTTAATAATAAACATTTACATTGTTTTTTTTTCTCTTTAGACACCGACCATCTGAGCACAGTTGTATCTGAGGCCTTTGTGCGTTTCTTTGTGGAGCTGGTGGGACATTACCCGCTCTTCGTCACAGGAGAGAGGGAGGACGGTTACTCCTCCTCTTCCTCCTCCCCCGGCTCCTGCAGCTTCCAGAGGGACCCCTTCAGAAAAGCCATCCCCTCCAAGAGCATCCGACGCTTCCTGGAGGTCTTCATGGAGACGCAGATGTTTGGTCTGTTTGTCCAGGAGAGGGAGCTCCACACACAGGCCCTCAGAGGTACAGGGACAGAGGGAGAGGCAGAGCAATGCAGGAATAGAATAATTGTTGCTTTGAAAATATGCAAAATTTGAAAATTGGGCATATTCTTTATAATAAAAGAAGAAATTGAAAAAAATAACTAATGTTGTAAAGGATATTAAGTGTTTTTATGCACTTTTTGGAGTAATTTTACACTTTGTCTGATATTTAAATCTCCATTTTAGCTCATCATGTGTGTTGATGTCATATTGTCTGAATATTGTTAGCAGAATACTTGAAAAAGATAAAGAGATATTATATATTCTATTAACTATGTTTATTTTATTTATTCTATTCCCAAAGTCTGCTGTGCTATGGCCCCTCTATTGATGCAATGACCACACAAAGCCTCTAAAAGAATTTGTAATGTTTTCTCCTTAAATGTACATGTTAAAACAATACATCTTTTGAGCTATTAAGATAAAGAAATACATACACACACACATATATATATATATATATACATATATAAATATCTTATGTAAAGTTGACTGAAAACTCAAGACAACCTTTGGGGGTCCCTTTGAGAGGCTAATCCCCACTTTGGGAACCACTGATATATAATACAATCCATCTTTATTTGTATAGCACGTTTTATAAATAAGACCAAAAAGTGCTTTACATATCATTGTAAATTATTTAACTTAAAAATATTGAAATTAAAATGTAATTATTTAAATAATTAAATAAATAAAAATAAATAAATAAAAAAAATCAGCAGAATTATGTTCCAACCATGAAGAAACTAATAGAATCAATAAATAAAATAATAATAATAAAATCAATGAACAAAAAAATGATTAAATCAATACATAAAAGCAGTACCAAAAAAAAAAAAAAAAAATAGAATGGATAAAAATAAAATAAAATAAAATCAATAAATCAAATAAATGAAAATGAAAATGAAAATGAAAATGAAGACACAGGGGACCACACAACTCACACGGTGTTTAAAACTAGAGAATAAAAGTGGGTCTTAAGACTAGACTTAAAACTCTCCACTGTGGAGGCTCTATGTATATAAAATACTCCTGTCAATATCTCCTACCCTTCTACACTTTCTACCATGGTGATTTAGTGAATTTTCATTTGTTTTTTGACAGGTCTGTTTGAAGTCAGAGTACATGAGTATTTATTGTCCATCCAGGATAACGACCAGAGACGAGTCAACAGGTTTCTCAAAGGACTAGGTAAGAACTAAGTGACATTAATAACATTACGCCATTGTGCATGATGATCTTTAATGAGCTTTTAACTATGTATTATTATAATGGTTTGCCTTGTTTGTAGACTTAAAGGTGCACTGTGTAACTTTTCGGTAGTGGATGTGTCATTTCTCTGCCTGGAATGTTCCACAGTATGACATTAAACAGATGTACCTTACGTTTATTAAATTACAAGTGGTTTCATAACTCAAACATAATTACAAAAACAGACATTCTGACTGTGAGCGGCGGCGCCTCTCCTCAGATCTGACCTGTAACTCTGTTTGATTTGGTCTCCATGAAGATAGAAAGGTTTAATGCCATACTGTGAAACATTCCACACAAGGCAGTAACATCTCGATGAAGAAAAGCATTTGACAAACCCTCCACCCAAAAAGTTATACAATACACTAGGGGTGTAGCGATATCCAAATCTCTCGGTACAATATTTTCATGATATACTTCTCACTGTACAATATTTATTGCAATATTTTGTGGAGGTTAAATTGTTAATGTGCGACTTTTACCTCTTAAAATGCCTTGACAAGACTTAATCCAAAGAACTAAAACTTAAAAGTGCTTAGAACTGTTATTTCTTCTTGTAATCTACACTAAAATGGAGCAAAAGATCATGGTCTATGTAGTTCCCTCTGTCTTTTTTTAGTTATTACAGCACCATAACTCTTAATTTAAGCAAAGACACTTGTAATTAAATATATTCTGATTTTCCACAATATTATTGTGAGAACTTTGACAATATTTTAGTTATTCTTACATCCCTACAGTGCACCTTTAAGACTATTATTATTGTTCCTAGTTGTCCAGAGAAAGTAAGATACAAGAGACGGAAAAAAAGCACCACATGAGACTAAACAGAGATTTAATTGTTTTAATTTAAACACTAATACACTTTACCGAGGCTGTGTTCATTTAGGTTTTTGGAAATCTTTTTAAAAATCAATTCTGTTTTGTTTTTTGTCTTTTTAGGAAACAAAATGAAGTTTCTATCCAAGAAGTAATCTCCTCTGAAGTGTCACGTTACCACTGTCTTGAAAACCTTCACTTTTTGGACTCATTGAGGAGACTGCACACACTGAACATAAACACTTCTTAACATTTCCAGTAGAGGGCAGTAGTTCATCTCCTGAAAGTGAACTGCATTTTCCCGCTTCTTTTCGGTGACGTCGCAAGAGGTTTCACAAGTGAGCAAATATAGCCTGCCCCTCTTTACATTGTGGCTTGTTCTTTTTGGCGATGCATTTTAATAAAAGCCTACGTTGCTTTAAATTGTTTAGTTAAGATGACAGTTTAGTAAACACACCCTCCCCCTCTGCCCACAGATTTATAATTATAAGATTTCACTGTAATGCCCTTTCATGTTACACAATGAGGTTTTGTTACAGAGCCCACAAAGCTGAAACACTCTGTTGACTCAGGGATTGTGCCCTGGTTTTACCTAAACTTTACCGAGGCTGTGTTCATATCAGGTTCACACTTGCACACTTTTTGCACACTGTACACAAAACCTGGACTAAACTTGGACTAAAGCAAGACTCAACCAGGGCCAAAACAGGACTAAATCTGGAAAATTTTGACTCAAACAGGACTAAAGCAAAACGAAAACAGGACCAGAGCAAAACTAAACTAAGGCCTAAACTTGGACCAAAGCAGGACTAAATCAGAACCTAAACTTGGACTAAGCCAGAAACAAGGCAGGACTCAAGCAGGACCTAAACAGGGACTAAACAAGGACCTAAACTTGGACTAAGCCAGAAACAAGGCAGGACTCAAGCAGGACCTAAACAGGGACTAAACAAGGACCTAAACTTGGACTAAACCAGAATCAAGGCAGGACTCAGCCAGGACCTAAATTGGGACTAGACCAGGACCTAATCCTGAACTAAACCAGGATTAGAGCATGACCAAACCGGGACCAAAATTTTGACTAAACCAGGACCTAAACTTGGACTAAACCAGAACCTAAACCAGAACCCAAACTTGGACTAAACCAGGGCCTGAACTTGAACTAAACCAGGACCTAATTTTTGAATAAACCAGAACTTAAACTTGGACTAAACCAGGACCTAAACTTGACCTAAACCAGGACCTAAGATTGGGCTAAGCCAAGACCTAAACTTGGACTAAACCAGAACCTAAACCAGAACCCAAACTTGGACTAAACCAGGACCTAAACTTGGACTAAACCAGGACCTAATTTTTGAATAAACCAGAACTTAAACTTGGCCTAAACCAGGGCCTGAACTTAGTCTAAACCAAATCTAAATCAGGACTAAACCAAAATCACCCCAGCTGTAAATGCAATCTTAGACAAACTTAAAGAAACACTATGTAACTTCTCTGGTTAGTGTTATTGAGTTATTGCTTTGGCTGGAATGTTCCACAGTATGGCATTAAACATATCCATCATGCATTTATTAAAGTATATGTATGTTTTTTTATTATATGTTTTCATTGATAAAAAAAAATATCTTTGAAAACATGCATTCTCACAGATCTCCACAAATCTGATTTGTAGCTTTGCCTGGTGCGTGATTCCATTGCGATAGATTAGTTCAGTGCCATACTGTGGAACATTTCAGGCAAACTAATCGCGAGCAGGTTATAGACTCTCCACTAGAAAAGTTACATTTACTGAGAGAAATTACTCTGCACAAAGAGTAACCACATGTCTCCAGTGGTGGACACAGTAATTCAAATTTCACTTCACATACGGTTATGAGTCTGTCACTGTGCAACATCACTCAAGCCAAACTAAAAATACACTTTAAGAATTACTAATACGACTCTTACAAACGGTTTCACAATGATTCACTCCAGGGAGGAGGAGCGATTTCTGCCTTGGGGCCTTTAGGGTCCTCTCAACCAAGGGAGGGCAATTATTTTTTCCATGGGGCCACATGAGAAACAGAAAATATCATGGAAGGCCGGACCAAAATGGGCCTAAGTCAATTCCGCATAATTATTAATTTCTGTAAACAAAGCAGTAAATAACATTGTTTTGACAAGCTGCCAAGACAGGTAAGAGTAAATGCTATGACTCAGCAATGAAAAGGTGAGGTTGCTTTACAAAAAAATTAATTAAAGAAAAAACAACAAACACCTCTAAGATAAAAACAATACAGCTTTAGTCCATGCATGAGGTAAAATTATAAAATATATATACACTACCACTCAGACAACAGGCTCTGTGCATATGCTTGTTAGCTCGTAAATCCTAAAATATTAAATAAACAACCTATTAAATTTCTAATGAATTAAAGTCAAGACTATCCAGTTGTTTTTAAGTGTGAAATATTTGAGTTTGCGCTGTTGTTTTAATATTTATTATGCCTCAAAATTAGCTTCAGTGTTAGGACTGAGACACAAAATTTCTCTTTCTAAACACAGAAAATTTCCTCTGCTGAAGTATTCATTTTATTTGTGTGCTTTTTAAAATGGTGTGAGTCACGTCCACCCACAGCTCCCTGTCCAATGCTTTATCTTTAAATATTTATTCAGTTTTGCACGACTCAGCAAAAAATCCATAAATGCACAATTGGACAGGAAGTCGTGACGGTAACAGAGTGCTGGCTGGGTGCTAAATGTGCACAGAGCCTATTACGCTGAAGCCCAAATAAAATAGGCACCCTTGGACGTGTTTCTGTTGTTGATTAAAATTTGTCTGCAACTTTTGTACCATTTTAGCCTCTGACTCACACACATGTTGCAGAGGTTTCAACCGCAGAGAGCTGATTCTTCTTTGTCAGCAGAAAACACCACAGAGCCACACAGGTGCAGGGCAGAGGACAGGCCTGTTATTGTCTAAAGCTTTCTCTAAATACAGCAGAGGAGGAGTGAACAGAGCCCAGGGCTTTGTACTGCTGATGACCTGCTTTTATCAATGACACATTTACACACCTGCTGGAGCTGACAGATACACTACAGGTTACTTCAGAAGGTGTTGTTGTTTTTGGCAAATAGTGCAGATCGTAAATAAGATACTGCTTTGTATGCACCGGCTGGGTTAATGGGGTCATGGCGGTGAGGTAACAGAATTAAAGCGGAATTAAAGTAGAATCATGGCAAAGGAGTGGTTGGCTGCTTTTGTGGCTACCTGACTCACACACCGAGCAGTTTTTGAGGCTTTTTGTTTTTCAAGTCCAGTTTTTGACATAATATGATGGGAATTTAAACAACTAAGAAGTGCAGCATGTGCAGTTCAAAGGACAAAAGCAAGGGACTGTTGGATTGAGTGATATAAGTATCCATGGAGACTATGCAATATGCTAGATATGGGTCTGGTCAAGCAGTAATGGAGGGAAACAGGGGCAGATTTTTTACATTCAAATAGCTTTTATTCAGAAACTAGAGGGAATATTGAAATAAGTAAGGTATTAGAATGTAGGAAAGAGTTAACACTCCAACAGGGTAAAGTTAAACCTGTGATATTCTTTCAAGTTGTTGACAAAAAATTTAAAAATTCATGTTGGTAACGGAGGGAATGAAATATGCAGCACTTTTTGGGCAATAAATGCAAACAGCGATAACTACCGGTTTTCACTTACATATCCTTAACAAACTGGTTTGAATATTTGCTTCATATAGTTTTCTACCATATGGTACAAGATTAGGTTGAAAAACCTCTTACTTTTTGAGTAATGAGATTTTTTATTAAGAAAGGTCATGGTAATGGAGGGAAAAGTAATGGAGGGAAAATTGTGCAAGCAAGTAGAAGGTGCATGATTTTGCATAATTTGTCAACTTTTTCCTTCCGAATACTTTAATATTACTTCAAAATGAAAGGAAACTATTTCTATAAAATATGTCAGTCCTTCCAAGCAATTTTTATAATTTTTAAATATATATATATATATATATATATATATATATATATATATATATATATATATATATATATATATATATATATATATATATATATGCCAAGCGATGGTAATATCAGGAAAAAGGAACACGAGAAGCTAGAGAAATACCAGGGGCTCAAGGAAGAGCTGGAGAGAGCCTGGAAAGTAAAGGCATCAGTGGTGCCTGTGGTGATCGGAGCACTCGGGGCTGTAACCCCCAAACTGGAAGAGTGGCTACAACAGATACCGGGAAAAACAACGGACATCTCAGTCCAGAAAAGTGCAGTACTGGGAACAGCAAAGATACTGCGCAGAACTCTTAAGCTCCCAGGCCTCTGGTAGAGGACCCGAGCTCAATGAGGGTGAGAGAGACCTACCACCGTGGAAGGTGAGAAACACATTTTTTTATTTATATATATATGTATATATATATATATATATATATATATATATATATATATATATATATATATATATATATATATATATATATATATATATATATATATATATATATATATATATATATATAAAAATCATGTACCTTCATCAACAGTTCAAAGATTGAATAACACAAGATGTGATGAAATACATCAGTTTATTTACATGATTTGCAGGTCTTTGAAATTTGGGAAATAATTTTTGTTCCTTGTTGTATAAATGGTCTGTTTAAAACGTATGTAACTTTAGAACCAAAAATGGTACAGAAAAAAGGTAAACAGTTTCATAAACTAGAGTACATATGTATCTGTTGAATACATTTTTATATCAGATGCATTAACTTGAATTTTTGGCCTTGCTGTATACTTCTGCTTGACTGGGCCCATAGGTAGATACTTTAGTTAAGGAGCTGCAGCTATGGACACCTGAGATGCTACAGGCTGTTTACACTGTATGTGGCAGTAAATGTGGCAGAAGACCTTCCAGAGGAAATACTTTGAGGGAATGAACTATTTCAACTTCAACTGAAACACCAGAGTAGAGTAAGAAAGAGGCCTATCCAGTTATGTTGTTGTGTTGTGGCTCCCCCTGGAGGCTGTTGTGGTGCTGCAGGACACAGAGGAGGGACACTTTTCTTCCTCTCCTCAAACTGAGCACTGAGACATTTGACTGAGACACAAAGGCCACTGAGAAGAACGGTATAAATGTTGCTGCAGCAAAACTTAAATTTCCCTCAGGATCAATACAGTATCTCCAGTATCTCTCTCTCCCCGTCTAAAACTCCATAGTTTTCCTTCTCTTGAATTTAGGGCCTGTCCACACGACAATGTTTTTTGGTCAAAACGGTGAAGTTTGTATTTGTTTTGGCCTTTTGTCCACACGGAGCCGGCATTTTGGGTGGGCGAAAACGTTTTTTTTTTTTTTAGAATGGGTCCCAGAGTGGAGAAATCTGACAACGCCGGCATTGCGTTGTCCTGTGGACAAGGAAACCACAGCTTTTGGAAAACGATGACGTCACGATCCCGTCGCAGCCCTCCGACGCAAGACAGTTGCCGAAATGTGACAGGTGTAGCCCAGTCCCGTCGCCCAGTAACTGAGATACGCTGCTAACACCAATGCTAACAATATGCACCGCAGATTATGCACACGGATAAATAACAAAAATTACGCACGGGTAATTAAACTGTTGGATTTTGAGGTTTTGAAGTTATTCTATTCAAATAATTCTCATCCAAATCTTATGGCTAAAAACGAAAAGTAATGTTAAACTTATGCAAAACAAAACGGCTATATTTCTGGGATACATCTAAAATAAGCTAAATTACCTTAATGTTAAAAAAAAAAAAAGATGAGATGTGAATTATTAACAATTATTATTATCATTGTTAACAGCGCCACATACAGGTGTGGCATATGTATTACATCGTTTTCACTCAGAGCTCAGTTATCATCTGGACTTGAATATTTATTGATCCGAGATGTTTGTGGATGAGAATTTTTTTAACTTGAAAAAGATAAAAAAAAAAAAATTCAGGAGTGTTGTCGTGTGGTCTTAATTTTCTTTTGTTTTGTTTGAAAAAGTCAACCCTTTGTTTCCTCACATCACAACTGTCAATAAGA